AGCAGCAACCAGATCCTCCGGGCTAGAGAAAGGTAACCAATAGAGAGAAAGACTTAGAAACAATAGTCTTTCTCCTGAGCCAGCCAGCAAAAAAGGGGGAATCCATTCTTTCCAGCCCTCCCACCCATCAAGATTGGATGGCTCCAGGCTCTTTCCACCCAGCATGTCTGGGAACAAAAAAAGGCAGGGGGAGAAGGAGTTGGGAGAAGAAGGTATCCCCTGCAAGTGCGGGCCAAATGCGAAGTTTCCCAGAAGGACCACCCCATGTGCACACCACAATCCCCAGCAGGAGTCCTGGCTCCCCTTTGCTGGACTCCCCAGCCAGCTTTGACTTTAAATCATCAATATACTCACATATATAACCACATATGCACACTATGTATGTATGTGTATGTATATATATATATGGGGTCGCGTTCGCAACAACAAATATACAAACATACATATATACATAAACAGAATATGTGTGTGTATATATGCATATACGCATGTACTGTATGTGTATGTCTATATATATAAAAATTTTCTACCCCCTACTCTCCTCCCCCCAAAGCTTCAAAGCAAGGGCTGCCTCTTTCTTCAACTGTCAAGACACACACACACACACACATATACACAATTTAATATACAACATTAAACTCTATGTGTATATATGTCTCTCTGTCTGTCTAAATTGATTAGATAGATAAGGGAGAAGCTCTACTGTATGTCAATAGGGGCCACCAGGGCTTCAAAGCAAGGCTGCCTCTTTCTCTCTTAAACAGTCAAAACACACACACACACACATTATTTAATATATATTAAACTGTATGTGTATATAAAGATAGGTAGGTAGGTAGATATTCTATTAGGGTCGGGGGGGGGGTTTCTCCCCCAAGATTTCCAAGCAAAACTGCCTCTTTCTATTTCCTGGAGATGCAGCATAGCCGCCCGGAATCTCCGGGCGCAAGGGAGGCATGAAACGGGTCTGAGGGCGGCCGGGAAGGCGGTAAAAAGACCCCCTCAGACCCGCTTTCTTGGGAGAAGCCCCCTCCCCGTATCCCTGGGCCTGAAAGGACACCGCCTTCGCGATTCACCGCCTCGCCCGAGCCAGGCGGCTTCGGAGCCCCCGCAGGGCGAGAGGACGGGCCGCCCTTCTCCTCAGTCGGCAGCGACTCGGAGCGCGAAGCCGGGCGGGGGGACTCACTCTGGCCGTGTCGGGAGGACGCCGTCGAGAACCTTCCTCGTCGCCGTTCCCCTCCTCCTCTTCTTCTTCCTCCGCCCTCGCCGCAGCCGCCGCCGCTGCTTCCTCCCCGCGGCCGTCGCCTCAGCAGCCGTCGCGCCGTCCGCCGCTTTCTAACTCGCCGCCGCCATCTTGGCCCGCGCGCCCTCCGCTCGCGCCCTCCCTCCCTCCCTCCCGCGGGCGGAGGGGGGGAGACGAAAGGGAGGAGGCGCGCCTGCGCAAAGGGATTCGACGCCAGCGGCAGCCGCAGCGACGTTGGCGCCGCCCCACGTGACCGCCCCGAGGCAGGCTCGCGCTTCCCTCCTGTTGCCGGGCGAACCAGGCCCACGTGACCGTCGCGGGCTTTTTTTTTTTTTATCCCCGCCAAGCACAAGGCATAGGGGGGAAGCGGGCCTGAACGCGCACGCGCACGACGCTGGGAATGCTGCTCACACTCCCGCGGCGCGGTCAGGTGGTCTCGCCGGCCAGGTCACGTGGTAGCGCGCCAAGGCTGGTTGGATCCTGGAAATAAAGGAGGGGGAGGGAAAAGGAGACGATAAAAAAAAAAAAAAAAGAGGGGGGCGCGCATGTTCTCCAGCGCCTCATCGCGGAAAGGCCCCGTGTCGGATTCCATGATCGCTTCGTTCTCCCGCAGGTGGAGCAGTTCGACGGTTGTCGCTCCAGGCTCGAAAGCTGATCTAGGCCCGTTTTTTTTTCCCCTTTCTGCCCGTTGGGAGGGGCAAAGAGGAGGTCGAGGAGACGACGGTTGGGAGTCACGTGATCTGTCTGCCCAAGATGGCGGCGTTGTACGTCGCCACGCAAGGAGCACGTCTTCCTCGGATCGCGAGAGGCGCTGGTGCATGACGGGAAAAAAGGTCCTGTGGCGGGACGTCATTGCGAGGAGGCCAAAAGCCCTCTAGGGAGCACTGCGCAGGCGCAGTAAAGGCTGCAGTTTTGATAGCGTAGCACCGTTGCTTGGTTTCTTTTGCCACTGAATTTACACTATTTTTTTTCTTTTGCTCTTCGTGTTGAAAAACAAAAAAAGGCAAAACGTGATGCTTAAATAGCGATTATTTGAGGAGCAACTATATTCCTTCTATAAACCTTACCCAATCAAGCTCTCCAGTAAAATAAAAGAGCCAATCCAATACTGAATTTCTTTTCACAGGCTTGGTTTATTTACCACCTACTTTTCGAGATAAAAATGCCACCGGCAGTGAATGGGAACCCCGTTATGATGACAAAGAATGAAATAAACCGCCATCCTTCTTGAAAAGCAAAGCAAATTGTAGCTGAAACCGCAGGGGGCGCCGCAATCTTTTCTGCTGCGAAAAAAAAATGCCCACGTTGCACGTCTGCAGAGTCATCCAGGCTCTCTTCTGCCAAGATGCCGCAGTTTACGACTTGGGTTTGGAACTGCTGCAAAGATTTAGCCGCCTATTCTGCGTGAAACCGGCCTGCCCCGACGGCCGCTATGTTCCCCTTCTCCGAGCCTTCAACACGTGTCCAGGAGTGACCCAGTTCACACAATCACCCGCTCCCGGGACGCCAGAAACGGCCGGGCACCTCTGCCGCCCACGTGGATTCTCCCCAGCCTGGAGAAGGAGGCGGAACAGCCGCGGCGCGCCTCCGCCAATCAGGCGCCGCTTCGCCGCCACGCTGCCCAATCAGCACCCGGCAAGCTCATTTCAAACTCTGCCTTCTCGGACTTCGAGTGGAACCGGGAAGCGCCTTCCCCCCGCCCAATCCGGAGGCCGGAGGGGCGTGAGTGGCAGGCCGAGAGGGGGGCTGGGGGGGTCCCCTCTTGAGAAAAGTCTCGGCAGCCCCTCGGGGAGGGAGGGGGTCCTCGAGGAAGCGCTTCCTTCGCTCTTTGCCCGGCTGTCAAACGAGGAAAAACTCCCGAGGATCGCTTTGGCATGGCGAAAGGTAATCACTGCAGACCCCACCGGGAGGGGGATGATGGGATGGGAGGTCCTGGTGGATGGGCGGGGGTCTCGGTGGTGGAGGGTGAGCGGGAGATGGGGATGATGAGGACTGTAGCCCAACACCGGAGCAGGGATGGGCAGCTGTGGTCCCTTTAAGATCTGCGGACTTTTAACTCCCAGAATTCCTGAGCCAGGAATTCTGGGAGTTGAAGTCCGCCGGTGGTAAAGGAGCCATAATTGCCCACCCCTGACCTGGATAGAGAGATGGAGTCGGGGGGGGGGGGAACTTGGGTGGGCAGAAGGCTGGGGTTTTTCAAGCTTGGCCCTTTGAAGAGGAGTGGGCTTCAATTCCCAGAGTGCCCTAGCCAGCCATGGGGCATACTGGAAATGCAAATCTACCCATCTTCAAGTTGTCAAAGCTCTGCTTTAGAAGCTAAAGGGTTCCCGGAGCGTGCAGTCTTGGGAACAAGGCCTATTGAAGAAGATGGATTCTGACTAAGCACTTGCGGGTTTGTGCAAAAGATGGAAAGACTTGCAGGGATTTCTCTGGCGATTTCTGTGGCAGTGATGCCGGGTTTTTTTTCTCTCTCATTGCTTTCTTCCGAGATGAGTCCTTGAGTTTTCATGCTAGGGTCTCATCTTAAGATTTCCTTGTGGTCTCCTATCCCTAGCAAAAGGATTCCACCCTAATTAGTTTTTCAAAAGTATCTAGCCTTTCTTTGTATGTGTGGTCCTAGGTTTTGTAGCCTTGACTTCTCTCCTTTAATTCTTCTAGTTGCTTTTAACTTCCTGCTTGGAGGTGGGGCACAAAAGAAGGTAGTGATGTGGGTTTAGGGCAGAGGAATCTGGCTAAGGATGGGATGAAAAGCTCCCCTTCTCGGTGGGACAATTAAAAGAATTCTTAGAATAGCTCTGAGCCCTTGGATTGTCTCCCTTAGGAAAGGCAGAAATCCACCAGGCCATTGTTTCTCAACTTTGACAGTTTTATGATGTTTGGACTTCAACTCCCAGAATTCCCCAGTTCTGGTTTCTCTGGATAAAGACTCTATGGTTGCTGATGCTCAGTGGGTTGGTTTAACCAAGGCTTTAAGCCAATGTTTGTCAACCTGGACCACTTTGAGAGGTGTGGCTTTCAACTCCCAGAATTCCTCAGCCAGCCTGTGAACCATTTGGGTCAGAAACGGGGATTCTGAGCGTGGATGGATGGATTAGTGCAAGATCAGAAGATGTGGAGAGACCTGGCCCATAGAACTGCCAAAGTCAGGCACAACTGAATGAATAACAGAGAGACATAGATGAGGGAGAGAGACTAGATAGATGATAGATAGGTAGATAGATAGATAGAGAAGATTAGATTAGATAGATAGATTAGATAGATTAGATAGATTAGATAGATTAGATGATAGACAGACAGACAGACAGATAGATAGATAGATAGATAGATAGATAGATAGATAGATAGATAGATAGATAGATAGATGATAGATAGATAGATAGATAGATAGATAGATAGATAGATAACACACAGATGGGAAAGAAAGAAAAAGAAAGAGAGAGAGCGAGCAAGCCCCTGGCCAAAAGCCGAGGATCCGCCTACCCCCCTTGCAGGATCTGCCAACTCTCCCGCAGCGGGATCTCCCCCTGGGACCCGCTCCGGGACCGGGGCAGCCGGCCAGGCGCTGCGGTGTCCGGGAGGCGTCTCCCCGCGCCGGGCACCTCCAGCCCTTTAACCCGGCTCGGGGCGGGCAGTGGCGGCGGCGGCTCCTCCTCCTCCTCCTGCCGCTGTCTCCGCCGCTCTGCCAGCTGTGCCCGCCGGGCCCTGAGCGCGGGGGTAGCGGCGCTTCTCTCTCTCGCCCTGCGCAGGCCGGCGGAAGATGCCCCAGCCCAAGCCGGGGAGGGCGGCGGCGGAGGACGAGGCGGCGGACGAGGGCTCCGCAGGAGGAGGCGGCGGCGGCGGAGACAAGCGAGAGCCGGCCCGGCCCAGGATGAACGGGGTAAGCCCAGATCGCCCCCTCCTGCCCAGCCCGGATCGCGGCGGCAGAAGCGCCCGTGCGCCCAGGGCGGAGCGCAAAGGCGAGAGCCGGGAAGGGCCTGCCTTCCGGGGCGCACGGCGCGATCGGGATTGGGGTGGGTGGGTGACAAGCGGGGACCCCCGGCCGCTCCCCAGCCACCCTCGCCGCCTTTGCACGCTGCGTGTCCGGCAGAGCCCCTTCCTCGCCCCCCCCTCCTTTCTCTGCAAACGAGCAATGTCCAGAAGCCTTCCTGGAAAGGACCCAGCAGGGCGTCGCTGCAGCCGGGAAAGACAGCTCGGCAACTGGCGGGATACGATTTCCGTCCTCCAGGGGACCAGCTGGCTGTGGGGAATGGGCCTTGGAGTCCAGCACTGGGGCGGGCCAGCCTTGCTGGCGGGCGGGCGGGCAGGAGGAGGGGAGGGGGAGGTCCCACTGGGAACCCCTTTTTTCAGTAAACACATTTTTGCCATATTCTATTAATGCTACGTTTAGATTCTGTATTTATGCTATATTTGCTGTGTCCTGCTATGCTGTATTTACTATAGGCTATATTTAGACTATATTTTCTGAATGGGGTGGTTTTCTTTTATCCCAGAATTCCCTTGCAAGATGGGGTGGATTTCAGCTCCCAGAATTCTCCAGCCAGCATAGCAATCTTAAAAATTCAGCTGGACTTCAGCTCTCAGCCAGACATGAGGAATTTGAGAATAGAAGTCCGTGCCTCTTTAAAGATGCAGAAGTTGACAAACGCTGGCTTAGGGCATTGTTTGAATTTAATCTACACTCTGTGGTTCAACCCAGTGTAGGAACAATCTCTGGTAGGTTATTGTTGAGCAAATTCTGCTGAAGCCAACAACCGCAAACCAGGTCTGTATTTTTCTACTCTCTCCCTTTTAGGAGAACATCTTCACTTGCCAATCCAAAATCTACAGTTACGTGAACCCCGGTAAAACGTCCAGCTCTCGGCCCCCACTTCAAGAGGAAAATTCTGCCACGCATCCCGAGACGAAAGGGCAAACCTGCAGACTTGAAACTTGCCAAAAACTGGAAGGTAAGACTAAGTTTCTCTCCTGGGAGTTGGCTGTGCAACCCGGATACTTTGTAATTGGGGGGGTGTCTGCATGCTGAAATGATGGCCTGGGAATGTTGCTTTAACCTGTCGGAGGAAGAGAAACGGTATTTTAGCACGCATATCCACAGGTTGGAAGGAATTTGGTTGTGCTTTTTCATCCTAACAATTGTATTAAAGACCACAGGAGAGTCTCCAATTTCTGGTTTTCTGGAAGAGTGTTAAGATTTTGGATTCTGCCAGTTAGCATGGGGGGAGGCTAAGACTCTGATACAACCCTGGGGACGACTGGTGGCTTCAGACCCCCCACCCCCCCTGTCCTTTTAGCCTTCTGGATTTTTTAACTTTGATTTTCACTTGTCAGTTCTAACCTGGTTCTCATCTCTATTTTTCATCTGTGCTTTTCCTTTAATGTTTACGTTGTTTTATTATGTCTGTAAACCGCCCAGAGTCCCTTAAGAAAATGTTATATATAATAGTTTACTCTTTCTTTTCACACACACCCAAATTGCAGACCGAGTACAGGTTGGCGACTCGACCTCCAGTGTTGCAAAATCCGACAGCCAGCACAGCAAAGCAATCGAATGTGAACCTTTACCGTCTCTCTCCAGCCCGAATCCCGAACCGACAGAAACTCACAAACTCTCGCCAGCCAAATCAGACGAGGTCACCAGCCAAAAGCAGGTCCCGAAAAAGGGAGGCAAAAAACCTGCATCCCGAAGGAAGTGAGTGCAACTTAAAGAAGTGGTAGGCTTTGGGTAACTTAATTCTGAATTTTGTGGGCATCTGGAGGCAACGGGAAAGCCCCCCCAGTCCTTTCACGTTTACCTGCCTTTCTCTTTCTATCTCAGAGGCCAAGGAAAAACGCCGCCAAACCGAAAGGTAACTGATTATTATCCGGTTAGAAGAAGTTCCAGAAAGAATAAAAAAGAATTACAGGTACGGTCTTGTCTTACAGCTTCCCTCTTACTGCTAACAAACGTGTTCCTTTTCAGGTCTACCAAAGAATGATACTTAAATACTGCTCCTCTTCCAATTCGTAGCAGTAACACCCTGTGTTTGTCTTCTATCTCGTAGACAGAGGAGAAGAAACGGATAGATGAGTTAATCGAGAGTGGGAAAGAAGACGGAATGAAGGTAAAGTTATATTTTATAGTTCACATTGAGAAATCGCCCATCTCGTTCATAGATTACAATGGGCAATGTAATGGACCCCAAAACTTAAAAGTGATATATAAATATTATAACGAAAAGCAGTTAAGAGCCAGACGACAATAGTTGAAATTAAAGAATTAAAATGCAGTCTAGCTGTGGGAACTGTGTTGTTTTTCCATGGAACCAGAACATTTACAAACCGCCTTTTGGTCGTTCTACCGAATTATGAGACCCTTCTGAAGAACGTCTGCCCTTCAGAGTCAAGATTGGGGTAGTAATTGGAACCTCTTACATTCAAGGAACTGGGTCACAATAATGTTGACTTCCTTCTGCAGATCGACTTCATCGATGGCAAAGGCCGGGGCGTCATCGCAACCAGGCATTTTAACCGGGGTGAATTTGTGGTTGAATATCACGGAGACCTCATTGAAATTATGGATGCGAAGAAACGGGAAGCGGCTTACGCCCAGGATCCATCGACTGGCTGTTATATGTACTATTTCCAATTCTTGAGTAAGACTTTCTGGTAAGAGTCCTTCTCCCTCTGTCTTTCCTTCTTACCCTGCCCCCAAAAATCAGTGTTCCCTCTTAAAATGACGAAAATAACGCTAATGAAAGAAGTAACAAGAGTAAGAGAGAAACCAAGGCTGGCTAACACGTTTGAAGCAAGGATTTACGGGTCAAAGTGCAGATTCAGTCAACAAGCCATAGTTTAGAGTAGTGTTTCTCCGCCTTGGCCCTTTGAAGATGGGTGGACTTCAACTCCCAGAATTCCCCTGGATCTGGCTTCTCTAGGGAAGAGCCCAAACTCTATGGTTGCTGGAGCTGACAAGGGATGTGGACTTCAACCGTAAGATGGGTGGACTCCCAGAGTTCCCCATGGTCCGGCTTCTCTCGTGCCCAGACTCTACGGTTGCTAGCGCTCAGATGATGTGTGGGCATCAACTTTAAGATGAGTGGACTTCAACGCCCAGAATTGGCTGGCTGGGGAATTCTGGGAGTTGGTTCCACCCATCTTCCACCTGGTTTAGAACAACGAAGTTCTTATTTTAAACAATTCAAACTGCTTGCCAGCACAGTAGCAAACCAGGGAGGGGGGTTTTTTTCCCCCCCGACTGGAAATACCTCTTTTAAGGATTGTGTAAATTGCTACCCATGATTGGACCAGAGGAATCAGGCTTTCCTGTGTTTTCTCTGCCTTCCCTGAAATCCACCGCTTAGTGTCGATGCCACGAAAGAGACCGACCGCCTGGGACGTTTGGTGAATCACAGCAAGTCTGGGAATTGTCAGACGAAGCTCCACGACATCGGTGGCGTCCCCCACCTCATCTTGGTGGCCTCCCGAGACATTAAAGCTGGCGAGGAGTTGCTGTACGATTATGGGGACCGGAGCAAAGCTTCTTTGGAGGCCCATCCATGGCTGAAACACTAAGGGGATCCCTTGCACGCGAGTAAGCATTGGATGTTCCTCGTGGAAGACCCATTGGCAGCTCTTAGGGGTGGTTACTTCCAAGAGGTCTCGTTTGTGGCCAGCTGACAGGCCAACAGGGACGATGGAGTCTTCACCTGAACGGACTTTTAAATATGAAGGGCCTGATTTTATTATTATTATTATTATTATTTCCATCTTCTTCTTCTCTTTCTCCTTTTCCTTCTCCTCCTCCTTCTGCTCCTCCCTCCTTCCTTCTTCTTCCTCTGCTTCTTCTTCTCCTCCTCATCTCCCCCATACTTGTCCTTCCATCCTCCTCATCTTCCTTCCTTCCATCCATTCTTCTCTCTTCTCTCTTCTTCTCCTCTCTTTTTTCTTCGGCATCGGCTTCACAGAGATCCCTGCTTCGATTCGTCCTTCCCGTCTGCTCGGGAATCTTTGAAACATTCAGATTTCTGCACTCTACAGATAATTTTTTTTTTTTTACAAATGCAACTTCTTGAAACTGATCTAAGGTGGGGCCTGCTCCAGAAAGGGTGACCAAATCTCCAATGAATTTTGTGAAGGAAACCTGCTTTCCCCCTTTCCTTAGCGAGGCACCAGTGAAGGCAGACAAAGAACACTCGAGGGATGGTCTGGCTTTCCTTAAGACAGGTTTGGGCCCTGTGTTCCAGGATTATCACCTCCATTTGGGGAGGGGGTCTGGGGACCTGGAGCGATCTGTGCCTCAGAAGCTGGGGGAGAAGATCATGTCTCTGCTAAACGGCCAGGGGATGGAGAACTGGTTCAGGAGAGCAGCTGGAAGAACCCCAAAAATGTGCTCTTTTCAAAGCAGCCTGTTTGCAGCTTTTTTCTAGAAAGAGGAAGAAAATTGGAAAGGAGTTTTTCATCTCTGCTGAGAATCACTGGACTTGTGGCCAAGAAGGAGCTACGGAGCTTGCAATGTGAAAACCAGTCTCAGCTTGTCCTTCAGGAGCCTGGCTCTCCATATGTGACTGGGTCTGCTGTTTTGTCTTTTTTTTTTTTTTTTTTGCTATTGTGAGCCATCAAAACTGCCATTGGGAAGCAGAGAAAGGAAGCAGGCGAGTGGAGCCAGGGAAGGAACGTGACAAACTCTAAAACAGCCCATAGTTTCCTTTTGCAAGTTCCTCAGCCCAGTTTTACCTCTTCTCCCCAAGTTTGCAAGGTAGGTTGCTGGGTATTGCTTGAAAAAGATGTTGCTTGTCTCTTGGGGGCAACGCGACATCGGAAAACCCGCAGAAAAATGGCTTTTAATTGAACGTGGGGCTCAGTCTTAAACAGGGACTTTTAGCAACCGAGTGTTTTAGGATGAAATCGCTTCTCGCATCAACTGTTTGGATTGGAGGTATATTTAACTCGGCGTTCCCCAAGTTGGAATTTCCGGCGTGTAGAAACAGCGAATGGAATGGTTTCTCTCCTGGAAAGAGTGGATTGGGACTACATTTCCCAGAATTCTTTGCTCCCACCCCTGGGGGCGGGGCTAGGTGAAGGCTGCAGTGAAGCACTTTGGGAGGAGAGAATTGTGAAATGCATAAGAATTAGGAGGCAGAATCGAGAAACACGTTTCCCAAGTTTACTTCTGGGCCAGAGATTCACGTATGCCATTTTTTTTCCCCCACGCCCATCTGGTGCTCTCCAGAGGGGTGGGGATGACACACCTGGCTGGGAACCCTGGGAAATGTAGTCCTAGCTGAGCGTCACACTCTTGCGGGGCGAGAGAGCGCTGTTTCAAACTCTGATGCTGGTGCTACAAAAATTGGGGACTTAAGGCTGATAATGTGTTTTTTAGAAATGATTAAAGAGGAATGATCTGTACAAGAGTCTAAATAAAGTGAACTATTTATTAACAGTGAAGACCCTTTGTTATCTCTGACTGAGAGGTTCCGGCAGCCCTTAATTGTTAATATGAACGCATCCATACCAATCAGAGGGTGAGGCTGTTTTCACACATTCTACTAACAAGTTGCCGTATTTCTTTTTCAAGTCATGGTTTGTCTGTTCTGTGAATCCAGGCAGTGGTGGCTGCGACAGCAAACTGGCATAGTAGAATGTATGAACCAGGTTTCACGATCCAAGTCTCTGAACTACAAAATCAAAACAGAACTACAAAATCAAAATAGAACCTCCTTAATTAGGAGGCCTGGAAAAAAGTTGAATAAATCGGGGGGGGGGGGGGGGGGAACACCAGGTTTTTTTCCTGTTTTTTTCCAAATGGCTTTGGGAAGAAATGGGGGGGNGAACACTCGAGGGATGGTCTGGCTTTCCTTAAGACAGGTTTGGGCCCTGTGTTCCAGGATTATCACCTCCATTTGGGGAGGGGGTCTGGGGACCTGGAGCGATCTGTGCCTCAGAAGCTGGGGGAGAAGATCATGTCTCTGCTAAACGGCCAGGGGATGGAGAACTGGTTCAGGAGAGCAGCTGGAAGAACCCCAAAAACGTGCTCTTTTCAAAGCAGCCTGTTTGCAGCTTTTTTCTAGAAAGAGGAAGAAAATTGGAAAGGAGTTTTTCATCTCTGCTGAGAATCACTGGACTTGTGGCCAAGAAGGAGCTACGGAGCTTGCAATGTGAAAACCAGTCTCAGCTTGTCCTTCAGGAGCCTGGCTCTCCATATGTGACTGGGTCTGCTGTTTTATCTTTTTTTTTTTTTTTTTTTGCTATTGTGAGCCATCAAAACTGCCATTGGGAAGCAGAGAAAGGAAGCAGGCGAGCGGAGCCAGGGAAGGAACGTGACAAACTCTAAAACAGCCCATAGTTTCCTTTTGCAAGTTCCTCAGCCCAGTTTTACCTCTTCTCCCCAAGTTTGCAAGGTAGGTTGCTGGGTATTGCTTGAAAAAGATGTTGCTTGTCTCTTGGTGGCAACGCGACATCGGAAAACCCGCAGAAAAATGGCTTTTAATTGAACGTGGGGCTCAGTCTTAAACAGGGACTTTTAGCAACCGAGTGTTTTAGGATGAAATCGCTTCTCGCATCAACTGTTTGGATGGAGGTATATTTAACTCGGCGTTCCCCAAGTTGGAATTTCCGGCGTGTAGAAACAGCGAATGGAATGGATTCTCTCCTGGAAAGAGTGGATTGGGACTACATTTCCCAGAATTCTTTGTTCCCACCCCTGGGGGCGGGGCTAGGTGAAGGCTGCAGTGAAGCACTTTGGGAGGAGAGAATTGTGAAATGCGTAAGAATTAGGAGGCAGAATCGAGAAACACGTTTCCCAAGTTTACTTCTGGGCCAGAGATTCACGTATGCCATTTTTTTTCCCCACGCCCATCTGGTGCTCTCCAGAGGGGTGGGGATGACACACCTGGCTGGGAATCCTGGGAAATGTAGTCCCAGCTGAGCGTCACACTCTTGCGGGGCGAGAGAGCGCTGTTTCAAACTCTGATGCTGGTGCTACAAAAATTGGGGACTTAAGGCTGATAATGTGTTTTTTAGAAATGATTAAAGAGGAATGATCTGTACAAGAGTCTAAATAAAGTGAACTATTTATTAAGAGTGAAGACCTTTTGTTATCTCTGACTGGCAGCGATGGAGGTTCCGGCAGCCCTTAGTTGTTAATATGAATGCATCCATACGAATCAGAGGGTGAGGCTGTTTTCACACATTCTACTAACAAGTTGCCGTATTTCTTTTTCAAGTCATGGTTTGTCTGTTCTGTGAATCCAGGCAGTGGTGGCTACGACAGCAAACTGGCATAGTAGAATGTATGAACCAGGTTTCACGATCCAAGTCTCTGAACTACAAAATCAAAACATAACCTCCATAATTACTAGAGATGGGAAAGCCTGGAAAAAAGTTGAATAAATCGGGGGGGAAAAAACACCAGTTTTTTTCCAAATGGCTTTGGGAAGAAATGGGGGGGGGGAACTGGTTATGAATCGAGGATTACCTGTATACCCTTCCTCCTGGACGCGAAGGCTCCAAAAATTGGGGAGCCATGTTTGCCAACATAATTTCAAGGATTCTTGAAAACGAAGTGCGCAACTTTATTCTGCTGGCTGCAGACATACAAACTTCCCAGTAAAAATTTACCGGGGCAAAGGTATTATCAGAATATCTGCCTTTAAAAGTCCCAGACATTTGGAAGGCAGCAGGTTTGAAAAAGCTTTATGCCAACCAGAAAAAGAAAGAAGAGAACCAATTGGGCTAAAACAAGAGGCTGAAGCCTCCACCAGCTGCAGCAGATCACTAAACAAACTTCAAGTATTGCAACCGCAGGACCGGTTTTTAAAATGTGACTTTCCAGGTTGTGACATCCCAGGGCGGAAATAGTTCAGCGTAACTTTTTAAAGGCAAACCTGCAATGGAAGGAAGGAAGTTAGTGTATGAGTGGCAGGAACAGAATCTGCAGTCCTAAAGGACAAACTAAGTGTAAAAGTCAAAATCACTTAAAGGAATTCTCTGTATGAGCCAATATTTTGAACACGGATAACTGAATGCCTGGAGTGTTTTATCAAACCAAATGTTGAAAATTGCAGGCGTTTTTCTGAAAATCCAATTAAAGGAAAGAATAATCGGCGAGTGGTAGATTTTTATTTTTGCGTAGTATGGATACTGTAGATTGAGTCTCCAGGGACTTGATGATAGAGGAGATTGGCTAAGAACTTCGGCAATTTGAAGCTCATGTGGACTTCAACTCCCAGAATTCCCCAGCCTGCATGAAACCTGAGTAATCAAACCTGTCCACTGTCTTAAAGGCCTTGCTTGATTTTATTCAGATTGTGGGTCACTTATTTGAGGTTTTGGCTGGTCCCTGATTCCCCAGGGAACTGTGATCAAGGAGAAGGACCTAGAACAGTGTAGACTTCAATTCCCAGAATTCCCCAGTAGCATACTGGCTGGAGAATTATGGGAGTTGAAGTCCATACCTACTGAAAGTTGCTGAGAGGTTGAAAAACACTGGCTCACACTGAGATCTGCCCGTTGTTTTAAAGGCTTTTATTTTAATTCAGCATGTGGGGCATTCCTGTGAGATTTTAGCTAGATTTTAGCTAGGACCCTTCTCAGAACAGGAATGTAAGTTACTCACCATTGCTTGATTGTCGTTTTCTCTTTAAGTCTAGTGGCACCAGAGGGCGTGCCCACAGTCGGTTCTCTTTGCGTGGGACTGTCCTTTTCCTGCTTCTGAGAAATATAACCACTAGGCGGTGGGAAAGAAAAAAGCATGAGCTGTTTATTGCAATCTGCTTACACACCAAAGCCACACACACGCCCCCACTTGTGCTGTGGTTTGCACAACATGCTGACTCACAAACAGCAAACCATCTTTTATTCTAGGGTGTTGGGCCAACCTAGACTCTCCATTTATGTACGATAACAGCCTGACAACATGGGGTTAACTGGGTAAATCATGATCCAGTTAACCCTAGAGGTTAGCCACCATTGCTGGTCATCATTCTTCTGTGGTGTTCACAACCCCTGGACTCCTTGTAATGAATTTTTTTCTAGTTAATAAACTGCAACAATTGAAACAGGTCGATATGAATTGCCCTTAGGGTGAGGATTTAACAGAACAACAGAGTTGGAAGGGACCTTGGAGGTCTTCTAGTCCAACCCCTTGCACAAGCAGGACACCCTATACTATTTCAGACAAATGGTTGCCCGGTCTCTTCTTAAAAACCTTCAGTGATGGAGCACCCACAATTTCTAGAGGTAACTCATTTCACTGATTGTTCTAAACTGTCAGGAAATTTCTCCTTAGTTCTGGGTTGGTTCTCTCCTTGATTAGTTTGCATCCATTGCTGACCACCGATGAAGATAATCCTGCCAGAATTCAACTCTGCTGACCAAATAAGTGGACACAAAGAGGACGGTGGGCCCACCACACATGCTGGAGGCCTCCCAGTGGGGAAGAAGAGATAGCCAAAGACATGACCGGATGACCCAGAATTGTGGATTAATGGTTGTTACCCTGGGCCTGAAGTCCTGGTTGGCTCCCAAACCAGGCAGGCTGCAGTTTCCAGCCCATCGCAGGAAAATCTGCATTTTCCCCCCCTACCTCTTGTAACATTCCAACTCCTCCTGCACGAAGAGAAGCTGGGCTTTCAGATGGTTGCGCTCCTGAAGAACTTCTTTGAGCTCCTGTAGCGTAAAACGGGGACGGTTCACGTCTGTGAGGTCCACAATCATTTTGTTGGGACCCAGGTTTACCTACAAGAGGACAGGGTAGCAAAATGGACCCCAACAGAAATTAGAAGGATGGAGTCAGCTTCCCCAAACCCAGAAAGGCACGTGGTGATTCCTTCAAGCAGATTTGCAAACTTCACGATGCACTTAAAGCAGACCTTGAGGTTAAACTCCCCCCCCCCCAAATTAAATCAAAATAATGGAAAATGATAGCTGCAGCAGCTACAAAAGTACCAGGGAGTTTAGCTTATGGTTACTGGATGGAAAGTTCAAACCTAAGTGAACTTCTCCTTTCTCCTTGACGCTTTCAGACATGTGGCAAGGGTTCCTCGGAGTAAGGGAGCTGCATCTTCCATTTCCTAAATCAGAAATTTCCACCCAGTGGCCTTGTGACTGACGCATATCAACATCTGGCAAGCTTTTTCTCCAAACCATAACTGATCCAACCTCGAATTGGAGAGAAATACGGTGCTCCAGGCAGCTGATTCTATCTAGAGAAATCTGTTCTCTAGAGCAAGGGTCTTCAAACCTGGCAACTTTTAAGACTTGTGGACTTCAACTCCCAGAATTCCTCAGCCAGCTATGAATCTATGCTCCCGGAGGAATTCTGGGACTTGAAGCCCACAAATCTTAAAAGCTGCTAAGATTGGAGACCCCTGCTCTGGAGAAGCCAGATTCTAGAGAATTCTGGGAGTTGAAGTCCACAAGGCTTGCCAGGTTTGGAGAGCCCTGTTCTAAGAGAGCCAGGCCCTAGGGAATTCTGGGAATTGAGGTCCACAAATCTCAAAGTTGCCCAGACTGGAGACCTTTGCTCTAGAGGAGCCAGACCCTAAGGGATTCTGGGAGTTGAAGTCCACAAGTCTTAAAAGTCGACAAGTTTAGAGACTCCTGCTCTGGAGAAGCCAGGGAATTCTGGGAGCTGAAGTCCACCCATCTTAAACCGGCCCAGGTTAAGAAACCCTAACCCGCAACCGGATTTGAGCAGGATGAAGCCAAAGGGCCAGGATCCAGAGGTCTCCATCACCCACCCACCCACTTCCTTCTCAGCTCCGCATTTACCTCTCCAGCGGTGCCAGATGTCACCCGCTGCCGGAGTTCCTCCAATTCCCTTTTCAGGCTCTCTCGTTCCATCTTGAGGGCTTCCACGGCCAGGTGGTTCTCGCTCACCAGGGCTTCCAGCATTTCCAGAATGCTGACCACCTTGAATTGCAAGCGGGCCACCCGGGCGGGGACTTCGGCCTGGGGCTCGGTGCTCAGCGTGTGCAGCTCCCTTCCCAGAACGTAAGAGATGTCGTACACATCTTCGGCCGTGAGATGGAAGGGGCTTTTCCCGAAAGGACCCTCAGATCCACTGTTGATGCTTCCTCCTCCGCCTCCGCCTCCTTCTTCTTCCTCTTCCCCCTCCCCTTCTTCACAACGCTGCTGAGCTTGCATCCTGGGAAAGGAGTCAAAAAAAGAGGCCACAGACCAGCTGAGACATGATGGGAGCCCAGCAGCCCCACTTCCTTCTTTCTACAAAGTTTCAGCGGCGGCCAAACCTCTCCAAGCAGATCTGAGACCTTGCAGAGTCCAATCAAAAGCAGGCAGGCAGGCAGGCAGGCAGGAGAGGGGGTGGTGGTGGTGGAGGCGGGTGAAAGTGAAAGGGGGGGGATGTAACCATGGAGCCGGAGGGGAAGGCGTGGGGGCAGACTTCCCCCTGGCTCAAGAGACAAAGGGGAGGGCTCAGTTATTGCACAAGCTGGCTTTCTTTTCCCTTCCTGGCTATCAGACCTGCCTTGGGTCAGTGTGCAGAGTCTCCGTTTCCATTCCATCCAGATTTTACGTCAATGACCCCCTCTCCCCCTGGGCCTCAGCCTTCCTCCCCTGTATAATGGGCCCATGAGGCTCACTTCCCTCGGGCGGGCTGGCGTTTTGCATTGGCCCTCTTTCCTCTTCCTGCTTGGGAGTCACTGCGAAGCTTTTCTCCTGCCGTCCTGAGCCTTCACTGCCTCTCTCCCTGGGCCTCAGCCTTCCTCCCCTGTAAAATGGGCTCCATAAGGCTGGTTCCCCTGGCATTCCAATACTTCCTGAGTGGATTTGACACTTCCGCCCTTTATCTTTGTAGCTAGTGAGAGCCTCCTCGCATGACTGAAGGGCAAATAGTAATAGTAGTAGTAATAGTAAAGTTGGAAGGGACCTTGGAGGTCATCTAGTCCAACCCCCTGCTCAGCCAGGAAACTCTATACCATTTCAGACAAATGGCTGCCCAGTCTCTTCTTTAAAACGTCCAGTGTTGGAGCATTCACCGCTTCCGGAGGCAGGTAGTTCCACTGGTTAATTGTTCTAACTGTCAGGAAGTTTCTCCTTAGTTCCAGGTTGCTTCTCTCCCTGATCAGTTTCCATCCGCTGCTTCTTGTCCTGCCTTCAGGCGCTTTGGAGAACAGCTTGACTCCCTCTTCTTTGGGGCCGCCCCTGAGATACTGGAACCCTGCTATCCTGTCCCCCCTCGTCCTTCTCTTCATTAAACTAGACATACCCAATTCCAGCAGCCGTTCTTTATATGACAAGGATACAAAACTTTGTCCTTGATTGACTTTTTGCTGCTTCGTTTTGTTTAATGATATTTCTTCCTATAAGATGCTTTGCGATTAAAGGTTTGTTGTTGTTGTTTTGCTCTGCTTTGTGTAATAAACTTTTTAAAGCTTTTACTGCCTTTATGCTTTGGTCATTTGTGAGTCCGCAAACTTCCCGCGTACGTTGTTAGCACTGTCACGTCCATCTTGCAAGAAGCATTTTGTGCATGAGTTTTAAGGGTGGGGGGGGTGGACGTTGTTGGTGACAACTGCTTCATATTTATGACGGGTTCCAGAGTCCCGGGTATCACGTGATCCCCTTTTGCTCTCGCCTGCTTTTTTTTTTTTTTTTTTTTTTGATGGGGGAGGGCCGTCCCCGACTCCCCCTCCTCCTAAATAGACTGCACTCCAACCCCCATCATCCTGGGCCAGCCGAGAGCGGCCTTAGATTTCTTCCCGATCGCCTAAGTCGTTTCCCCCCCTCCGCCCGGGAAAACCCCTCGTCGCTGGCCCCGCCCCGCCGCCTTTCGCTTTCGCTTTCCTTTTCGCTTTCCCTTTCGGGTTTCGTTTTCGCCGCCGAAGAAGTTTTGTTTTCCGCGGGAGCCCCGCCCCGCCGGGCGAGGGGAAAACCGGGCGGGCCGTATAAAAGGAGGTGCTCGGAGCCCCCGAAGCCAGAGGAGGTTGGCGTGTTTTTTTCCTTCGGCGGACGAATTGCGAGGACTCGAAGAGGATGGTAAGGATGGGCTGGAATTGGGGGTACCTTTGATTGTCCTTGGGTAAGCGTCCTCTTTCCCTTATATATGCAAGGTGGACAGTATTTAATATTTGTTATGAAGGGGTGGGGATGTAGACATACGTTGCATGCAGTATGTTTAGGTATGTGTTTCACTCGGAGAAGAGCGGGCAGCTCAATTTCATTCTGGAATGGGTGCCCTTGTGCCCACAATAATAATAAAAAAATGACAATAAAGGTTATCTTTTATCTTGCGCGTCTCTGCGGCCCGAGGGGCTGCGGGGCGGCCGATCCTCGGGGGCTTCGCCGGGCCGGGGTCCGGAGCCCCGGGTCGTCCTCGGGCAGGGGGCGGGGGGGGACTCCCAGCCAGCATTAAACCGACTTTCCTCTGCGCTTTCCCAGGCGCTGACGCTGACCGTGAAGCTCCTGACGGGCGAGGTCCACTCCGTGGGCTGCTCGGCCAGCCAGACCGTCTGGGACCTCAAGGTCCAGGTGGGCCAGCGGACCGGGGTGTCGCCCTACCTGCAGAAGCTGGCCTGCCCGGACGGCGCCCACCTGGACCTCCGCGACGGCGCCCCGCTGGCCGACTTCGGGCTGCGCACCGGGGACACCCTCCTGATGATGGTGAAGCACGAGGAGTCCATCCCGATCCTGCTGAGAGGCCTCAACGGCCGGACCAGCACTTACCACGTCCTGCCTTCCGACACGGTGGCGCAGTTCCGGGCCCGCATTCGCACCCAGGAGCGAGTCCAAGACGACCAGTTCTACCTGGTGTACGGGAGCCAGAGCCTGGAGGAGGGGCGCAAACTCTCCCACTACAACATCTGCCCCGGGGACACCGTGACTCTGAATCTACGCCTGCGGGGCGGGCTGAGGAGCCTCCTCTGGGGAGGGTCTCCCCTGTGACCTTCCGAGTTAGCCCGAGGGGCTTCCCGGTGGCTCTGGTTCTTCTCCGCCCTCTGCTTCCCTTCCGTAGGTGCCCCGGGTAGCTGTAGAGAAATATTCTGCCTTTTTTTTTCTTCTTCTTCCAAGCATTAACTTCCAATACTGGACATGAACCGAAAGAAGAGGTTTTGTAGCTTGAGGCACAACTGTCAAATCTGTCTTTCAATTCCCCTGATGAGAAATATAAAATAATATCTGACATATACTGGGGACAAAAGAGGGAGAGCCAATATCCATTGGGATTGAATTTGCTTGTTCCACCCCCCCCCCTCCCAATTTCTGTTTTTTGTTAGCCCCAAAGGAGGGTGAAGAGCGATCCTGTTCTTGAATCCTGTACCTTTATCGAAAGTCTTCTCCGTTGTTATTGTAGACTAGAAGAACTGTACTTATGTAACTCTGTTTTTACCTTGACCCAGCTGTGAAATAAACAGTTTTACAAATAAAACGAATTCAACTGCCAAGTATTGTTCCTTTTCTCTGTTGTCTGGGCTCAGCGGTACCCATTTTTATGTAAGGCAGAATTCATCCTCATTTTCTTGGGAGTTGCCATCTTGGAATGCAGACAGAACTTGAACAGGATGGTTGACTTGGTAATGTTTTGGGCAGTTTGATTTTTATTCTGCTGGAGGGGTTTGGACTTTTAACCCCAAAGCTGCTCGATTCACTTGGGGCTCACAATTGCCCGCCCAGCCTAGGTTTGATTTGTTTTGGGGTTTTTTAAATGAATTTCTATTGAAAGTTTGACCTAATTTTAAAACCTAATGAAAAGAAAAGAAAGAAGAAAAATAAGCAAAAGTAGAGAAAGAAAAAAAAGAAAAAGTACCTAATCTTTTCAACAAATATAAATAGAAATTATAAAATGTATCTCTTACTCTATTACAAAAAAAGGCATATTATTTTCTAGTCAAAGCCACAAATCACAAAAGGCATTTTTCCTTTTTTATGCAAAGTGCTAAATTTCCAGGCGGCCATAAATGAAGCTACTGTTTTTTTTTCTTTAATAAAAGAAGTTAGCCACTCCTAGGTAGCATCAAACTTCCCATTTTTGAGCATGTAATAGTCTCTTTGAAGAATCCTATGTTTTAAACCTGGGGTTGAAGGGGAGGGACAACAAACCATCATAAAGGGGGGGGAAGGTGCTGATTTACTAAAGAGCAGTAGGGGGGGGAGGAGGAGGGTCCCTGTGGTATCTGTTGGAAGTAAATTATGGGATCTGTAAATTTGACCCAGTCATTTTCTAATCTTTCTCTAGAATTCACTTCCACCAATTACGGAACTGCTCAGTTCAATGGCTCAGGCTAAAATCATGTTGAAGTGAGTGAGTCACATTAAACTGGCAGATTATTTGGGCAGAACACACAATATCAGCACAGCACAGCAATTGTGTTTCACGAGCCTGGGTTGTGCAGCTGTATTTGGGGTAACCATGGTTTATACCCTGAAGCTGGCTGTCTGGATTGGGGTGATAAATGGCAAACAGACATCCACTTCTGTTCCACTGTAGAACAGAAAGAGAATCTGGGATCTGGAGAAGTTGCACACAGGACTGGAAGGGACCTTGGAGGTCTTCTAGTCCAACCTCCTGCCCAAGCAGGAGACCTACAGGGGAAAAACCCACTTAGGGTTAGGGTTAGGTCCCCATGAACTGGGAGAGTAAAATGGACATCGGCCAATGGATTCGTAGTGCATTGGTGTGCTTAGGAGGGTGTTGAGTTTTGGAGCCCGCCCTATCTATGTTTCCTGGTAAAATACAATTAAGGAGAAACTTCCTAACAGAACAGTTAACCAGTGGAACAGCTTGCCTCCAGATGGTGTGGCTGCTTCATCACTGGAGGCTTTTAAGAAGAGACTGGACAGCCCCCTGTTTGAAATGGGATAGGGTCTCCTGCTTGAGCAGGGGGTCGGACTAGAGCCCTCCAAGGCCCCTTCCAGCTCTATTCTGATCGATTGATGATCATTGCAGATTGTGTGAAGGGTTTGAAGATTGCGAAGGCTGAGGGCTGGACGGACAGAGGATGTGGTGCTTTTCGATGGCAACAGGGGGCGGTCCTGCCCCAGGGATGAACAAGGGTTGTCTTGAGAATTGCAGGAGACAAAGGATCAGGATCTGTAAATCCTGCAGCTTCCCTTGGATGAGCCATCCTGTAAAGCGAAGGGTGGACAGCCTCTCGCTTGTACATCATCTCCTTGCGAAGCTGCAGCCTGGCACAAATCTCCAAAAAGCTTGTTGGGATCGAGACCTCCTCGCCGTAGGTTTGAGTTTGCTTGTCTTCTGGCTACTCCAATAAAAGAAGGGATACGATGGGTCTGGGGAATGTCTGGAGGAACATCTGGAGTTACGAGACCCCCAAAGTGATTGTGGTGAAGAATCCTAGCCTAGGCATCATGTACAGGCTGGTCCAGCTCCTGATCCTGGTTTACTTCATCTGGTAAGTGTTCCCACCGTCCTGGGAGAGAGATGGTGGTGGGGTATGCAAAGATGCTTGGGGAAGATATTGTGGCGTCTAACTCAAGGGACATAATGCGATGCATAAGGACATTTAGACAAGGAAACACATGGGAATGTGTGACTTATGTGTACGTAGTTATTTCACGTTACATATTAATATTAGATCCAAACAGCTGTGAGGAAAGAAGAAATATTTCTTCCTAAAACAGTTTGCTTTTAGAGACGGGCTGCAGAGAAATGGGGTACAGCAAGCAGATTTTTATAGGGGGGGGCTTGAAGTGTCTAGGTGCTGATTCCTAGGGTGACACTTGAGGGGCGTGTATGTACGTGTGTAGGTATGTTTATTCTTGTGAACATGTAGTCCCTCTGGCAGCCCTAATTTAATTAACTCTTGTTTGTGTTTGCAGACCTCATCCTTTGCTATGTGGATTAGGTCTGGGTAACTTATTTGGGGGTTTGAGGAAGTTGGAGGAAGGGGTTTCTCCCCCCGTTTGCTATTTTTACTTGATTCATTTAGTTTCAGCTTGACCCTCAATAATCTAGTGGAGACCCTGATTCTCAGACCCTGGTGGATTCTGTTAATATTTCAAGGGAAGATGGAAACCCTATAAAGACTGTAATACATTTTGATATAAAGCTTCTCAGAATGGGATGAGGCCCGCTGTGTGCGCGCAGCCACTGTCTTCTCCTTGGCTTCGCCTGAGTGAACACCATTCACCTCCATAGTGTTGAGATAGTTGGAACACCTCTGAGGTGAAAAAGGCACTTTTTCTCAAGGGATGAATAAAAGTCGCCGGTAGGGAGACAGCTCTTCCCACTGGTCCTGCTGGCTGAAGCAGACTCTGCCTTAAGGAGTTGTTTGTGTGCCACTGATGTCCTTCTTTTTGCCACAGGTACGTGTTTAGCAACCAGAAGGGCTACCAGGAGTGGGAATCCGGTCCAGAGAGCTCCGTCATTACGAAAGTCAAGGGGGTCACCTTCTCACAGCGCAAGGTGTGGGATGTGGAGGAATATGTGAAGCCCCCAGAGGTGAGACCCACCAGAGCAACTTCTCCAGGTAGTCAAAGGAGGAACATCTGGAGGGGGGAAGGGCTTGGCCACCCTTACCTTGCTGGAAGCTGCCAGCCTTGATCTCAGACTTAGGTTGCCCAAGGATGGGAGAAAAAATTTGGTTGTAACTCCACAGACAGCTTCTCCTAGAAGGGGCTTCTTAGAGTCCCAGCATTCAGACTGAGGGTTGGGTTTAATGAATCTCCTTCCTTCCTTCCTTCCTTCCTTCCTTCCTTCCTTCCTTCCTTCCTTCCTTCCTTCCTTCCTTCCTTCCTTCCTTCCTTCCTTCCTTCCTTCCTTCCTGATTTATTTCTGGCCACATAATGTTGATTTCCACAAATCTTATGTCATGGCTCCTCCTCCTCAGGAAAATGAGGCTTTCCAGGGCAAGCGTGGGCTGCTGTTTTCACCCACTCCTGTCTTCCCTGCAGGGAGGCAGCGTCTTCAGCATCATCACCCATGTGGAAGTGACCCCTTCGCAGACCCAAAAGACCTGCCCGGAGGTAGGGAACGTGGAGGCAAAGCGAGAAGCACAAACATCGCTTGAGAGAAGCCGGGAGGGGTTCTGAATATCAATGGACGAGCTCTTATTTTTTCTATTCTACTTTGCTGTGGGTGCCCTAGTTGCGCATTTGAGGGCTTCCGTCTTTACTTTTAGTTTCTCGTGCGGCCCCATCAAAGGTCCGTGGGAACTGAAGCTTTCACAAAACCTAGTGAAATTCTCCCCCAATCCCTGGAAGCTGTGGGGGTTTGGATGGGGGGGGCGGAAACCCTTGCCTCCATCCTACCAAGACAGAGTGGCAGTGACTGTTTGGGCCCTTTTCTGGCCCTTTCAGTCACTTGTGCCCTGTTCATCTTGCTCCTTGACTACTGCAATATGCTCCATGTAGGGCTGCCCTTGAAGACTACCTGGGCTTGCCTTGATAGCCCCAGGTAGCGCTTCTGTTTAACAAGCTGCACTAATTGCCGTGCAAAAGCCCCCAAAATGTAGAGATGTTGATTTTCTTTGCCTGCCAATTTTGGGGAGGAGTTCCAAGGCCAATTTTTAATTTTATTTCAAGAAAAGGCTCAGCATCCAAGAAGGAAAATTCTTTGTTGGGCATGTCACCCCAATGGATCCAGGGTCCAGCATCTTTACTGACCACTAACCCCTCTCCTGTGTCTGTCTTCTGCAGAACCTGAGGGCCTCCTGCACGTCCGATCATGAATGTGCCAGGGGTGAGGTTGAGGTGCTGGGGAACGGTGAGTAAGGGGTAACCTCTCCTGGCGATGACACTAAGTAGCTGCCAATCTCTGGGGGCCCATCCCTTGCGACAGGATGGAGACAGCCATACCCTGAGCATGAAAGCAGGTGTAAAGGGGGGACCTGCACTTTCTGATTTTTGGCTTTTCTGCAGGAATGAGGACAGGGCGTTGTGTCCCCTACAACATCACCAAGAAGACCTGTGAAGTTATGGCCTGGTGTCCCGTGGAGAACGGGGCAACTTTCAGGTGAGAAGGGGCACGGAGACAAGCTGCTCTCCAGTCCATCTGGGCCCTGATTGGTGTCTTAAACTGGAGTAAGAAGCTGGGCCACACACCAAACCCCAGATTTATTTTAACTGAGGTCTGGTGAGACGCAAGGGCTTGGCTGGCGTTCTGTATGAAGTTGTCATTTTTGGCTTGCAAACCATAATGGCTGGAGTATGTACTCAGATCGAATAAATTTGGGTCTGGATCAGTCCCACGACGGTTTAGAATGAATGGGAGGGTCTGTTGCATTTCCTGCAAGTAGATGGATATTTCAAAAGCTGGAAGGATCTTGCCCACTTTCAAAAATTAACAGAGCTCCTCCTGGCAAAGTTAGCAAGGAAGCCGAAAGGGAAAGCTTGTTTACTTGCCGTTTCCTGTGGTCAACTTCATTTTATTTCTAGATCTAGGTGAAGGTCTGAGCCTGAGGTTAAGCTTGGTTGTAATCCCTGCAGAGAGTTAGGAAGGGAAGAATCTCGGCACTTGGGTTTCATAAAACCCAGAAGAAGGCAGGTTTGTGGTCCCTGCTAGCTTTGGCTCCGTCTTAATGTGGCTCCCCCCCCCCTTCTTTTTGACTTCATAGTGAGAGTTTGGCAACGATGGCTCCGGAGTTCACCATTCTGATCAAGAACAGCATCCATTTCCCTCGCTTTCACTTCTCCAAGTAAGGACCTAGTGGACGATCCCTTAAACACGAGCCAGCCGTGTGCGGCAGCTGACAAAAACAAAAAAAGCCAACACAATCCTGGGTTGCATAAAGGGAGGCACAGAATCAAAATCACGTGAAGGCTTAGTGCCGCTTTATAAAGCCTTAGTAAGGCCACACCTGGAATAATGCATCCAGTTTTGGTCACCACATACAACAAGATGTTGAGACTTTGGGGAAAAAGTGCAAAGAGCAACTAAGATGATTAAGGGCCCGGAGACAAAAACATATGAAGAGCGGTTGCAGGAATTGGGTATGGCCAGTCTAGACAAAAGAAAGACTGGGGGGGGGGGCAGGACGGGGACGTGATAGCAGTAAACCAGTATTTGAGGGGTTGACACAGAGAGGAGGGGATCCCTTAAACACGAGCCAGCCTATCTCCAAAGCACCAGAAGGCAAGACAAGAAACGTCACAATTGGCCTATGGTTTCTGGCTAATCATCCTGGTTTGTCTTTGCCCTAGAGAGAATGTCATGGACAACAGGGATGGATACTTGAGGAACTGCACTTTCAATGAAGCCACAGATCTTTATTGCCCCATCTTCAAGTTAGGCTTCATTGTGGAACAGGCAGGCGAGAACTTTTCTGAACTGGCTGAAAAGGTAACCGTCTCACCTGGGGCGTTTTGTCTCATTACTGTGTTAAGTTGGGGGGGGGGTCACTATGTTTGGGGGATGGAAAGGGGCAGTGGGTTTAGGTGCTAGTCTAGATGTGGGAAAACCCAGATTCTAGTTCCCGGTCCCAGAAGCCAGCTGGATGGCCTTCAGCTAGTGCCACCCCCTCAGCCAGTCTGGTGGTGTGGTGAAGGCGTTGGGGGGGGCGGGAATCCCTGGGTTCAAGTCTTGAGAACACTCAATCGGTGGAAGTGGTGGGTGCTCCATCACGGGAGGTTTTTAAGAAGAGACTGGAGAGCCATCTGTCTGGAATGGTCTCCTGCCTGAGCAGGGGGTTGGACTAGATGACCTCCAAGGTCCCTTCCAGCTCCAGTCCGATTCTGGTTCTTTTGGCTCTGCTTTTGCCTGGTAGGGCGGGGTGATCGGCGTGATCATTAACTGGAATTGCAACCTTGACCTGCCGGAGTCTGAGTGCAACCCCAGATATTCCTTCCGCAGGCTGGACCCCAAATGGACTCAAGTTTCCTCCGGCTACAATTACCGGTAAAACTTTTATAACAGTTTTGCAAGCTTTTTTTCTGGGGTGGGGTGGTGGGGGGAAGTCTCAAGCCCTTCTGGGGTTTCTTCTTTGGTCCGTCGGTGTGTAAGTGTGTTGCGGCTGTCCTGCTTCACTTGGCAACCTGTCAGCCTAACGTGTTTGCAATGGGGGAGGGAGGAAGAATTGGAAGGAGGGAGGAACATGGGGGGGGGGAGTGTTGAATCCATTCTGTGCCAGGCAAGGAGGTGGCACTGCTTCAGCTCAAGGCCACTGAAAGAATGCAGAGACGGAGAAGCTGCATCAAAGCAACTCTGTTCCCAAAACAAGTATTACTAATCGGACACTGACCAATTGTGTGTGTGTGTGTGTGGGGGGAATTTCCTGATTCCCCTGTTTTCTGCTTGCTTATTCCCCCCCTCCCCCAAGAGAGGAAAAGTAAATCTGGCCAGATGAAAGGACCAAGAGATGAGTTTCTTAGAACGGGAAGGCCACGTAAAATTTTATCTTTGGATAGAAAAATATTCCAGCGCCAGATCAGGTTTTTTTTAATCATCTTCTGGGCGTTCTCAAGCCAATCCTCAAAAAAAGGTGGTTTCCTTCTGGAGGACTGTGTGTGTGGGGGTGTCACCCATATACAGCTAAACCACGTTCCGCTTTTAATTTTCCAGATTTGCAAAATATTATCGGCAAGGTGGACGAAGCACACGCACCTTGATCAAGGCCTATGGAATCCGCATTGATGTCTTGGTGCACGGGCAGGTAAAGGAGCCTCCATTTATAGTTATGGAATAATAGCCATTGGGTTGAATTACTGACAGGAGGTTTTGTGGAATCTCCCTTCTTTAGGCTGGGAAATTTAGCCTTATTCCTACCATCATCAACCTGGCCACAGCCTTCATGTCCATCGGAGTGGTGAGTAAGCAGCCTTGGGGTGTCCCTGCCCAGGTCTCTCCATGTACTGATCATCTTTGTCCCCCCCCCCCGCCTTCTTTGGCAGGTGTCCTTCCTCTGTGATTGGATATTGCTGACTTTCATGAATAAGAACAAGGTGTACAGCGCCCGAAAGTTTGAGCAGGTATGGCAGCAGGTCACAGTCTCCCTATTTTGGTCTTCGGGATAGGCTCCCGTGTGCTAGCCTGGTTCATGGGCACAGGCCAGTTAAGAGGGATAGGCAGTCATGGTTGTCTGAAAACACATTCACGGCACCATCGTCCTGGGGCTGCCACATTTTTTTCATAACAGCTGGCTGGCCAAGGAGAGTCTTAGGATGCTACCAAGTTTGCAATGTGAAAAGGAGCAGGAGGGTTGTGGGGACTCCTTGCTCTCAGAAAGCTAGTCCATCATCTGGGAAAACAAGTTATGTTTGAAGGAAGCAGCAGAAGAATAGAATGACAGAGCTGGGAGGGACCTTGGAGGTCTTCTAGTCCAACCCCCTGCTCAGGCAGACAACCCTATTCCGTTTCAGACAAGCGGTTGTCCAATCTCTTCTTCAAAACCTCCAGTGTTGGAGCATTCTGGACTTCTGGAGGCAAGCCGTTCCACAGATTGTTCCGTCAGGAAATTTCGCCTTAGTTCTAGGTTGCATCTCTCCTGGATTAGGTTTCTCTGCCCACAAATGTAGGGAATTATTTTAAAAAGCCATCTGTGCACACTAGATACTCACTGGTTGTTTTTTCTCTCTCTCTCTCTCTGGCCAGATATCAAAGAGTCCCAAGGCCTCTGTGAACATTGAATTCAGGGCCACCCATTTCGGCCCCCCAACGGTCTCCTTGGAAGACCCCCAACGCCCTCTGAGGCCCTAGACTACCTTTTCCGTCCAATCTGCCTCGGTTATGTTTGCATCTGATGACTTTCCTTGTTTTTTGGCTATGCTGGACTAATGTGGCTAGCGTACAAAAGAAAGGAAGCCGGACATTTTTCATCCTGGCTAAAGACAGAGACTCTGTTTTTAATCTCTGTTGAAAGTTTGGGAAGAAAAAAGGGGATGCTGGCAACTGACTCACATTTATGACGGTCGCAGCGTCCCGGGGTCATGTGATCAATCCCCTTTGGCAACCTTCTGGCAAGCAAAGTCGAGGGCAAACCCAGATTCACCGTTTGACTAATTTAACGACTTCAGCGATCCACTTAGCAAATGTGGCGAGAAAAGCCGTAAAACGGGGCAAAAACCCGCTTCGCAAATGACTCACTTAGCCACAAAAATGTTGGGCTCAATTGGGGTGGTAAATGAATTAGGGGCGTGGACTGAAGTTAACCTCAAGGATACAGTCTCTGTATTCGAAGAGTCCAGAAACACTGGAAATAAATCCCAAGTTCCATTCCACGGGAACAAAGCCCTCTTCTTTGCCTCCGTTTCCTGAGCGAAAAAGCACAGCAGGGCCACGGGAATAGCAGCTAATTGAATCAAACAACCCACACAATCTAATTAGTTGCCCGAGGAACAGCCGGCTTCGGGGAAGCTCAGACACCTGAGAGTTGCCTTTATCTACTGTTTCACAAGGGTCAATGGGGGGGGGCACTGGGGAGCCAGGCTGATGGCGCTTTGCAGAAAACAGATACCGCAACCAGAAGACAGATTGTGCTGTTTTTCAGGCCGAGGGCTTCACTCTTGTCTTGAAGTGACATGCAGAAAAGGACGCGGGATCAGGCCCCAAAACTCAGCCTAGCTGGGACAAAAACCGACTTGCATTTATGACGGTTAAGGTGTCCCGGGGTCACGCGATCCCCTTTTGCAACCTTCTGACAAGCAAAACCAGATTCGCTTAACAACCGGATTACTAATTTAAGAACGGCAGCGACTCACTCAACAATCGTGGCAAGGAAGGGGGTAAAATGGGGCAAAAACTCACGTCACAAATGTCTCGCTTAGCAACTGTCAATTTGGGGTCAATTTCCCAGCCTGTCTGCTCAGCCAGGCAGACGAGGTAAAATCCTTGATCAGGCCTGAGCACCGTTGCTCCAAGGATTTGATGACTTGTAGAGGGAAGGCTAGCATGTTTTTCTCTTCCCGCTTCTCGCTCTCCCCTGCCCCACTTCGGATAATGGCCCTGGCGCCACTGCTGTCTTTCTGCGTGTCAAGATAGTGATAATGAGGGGCTCAGACAGCCCAGGAGGAATTGGGTTTCTTCCCCTCCTTGATTAGACCTAGCCAAATTTCATTAGGGTTCCCATTAGGAGCCATCATGACTTCCTGACTTATTCATGTGCCGTCAGAGATGCCTGCTATTCAGCGGCTTCCTTGAAAAGCAGATCAGAGGGGGCTGGAGGTAAACACGGGACCGATCAATCACTCCTGGCAGGCTTGCCAATGTTCAAAGGAAGGACTGAAGTTGGGAAATCTGCCTCCATCATTGGAGGCTGCCGTCTGTTCCAAGTGGGCAGAGGGTCTCCTGGCTTGAGCAGGAAGTTTGGGCTCGATTAGAAGACCTCCCAGGTCCCTTCCAAAGCTGTTAATTTTATCTTATGCAGTTTTATTTCCTTGGGCACTGCGTATCATCATCTGCTTCATTAATTTGGACCTAGGCTGGTTGAACTCTATTTATTAAATATATTGGCAAAAGCTGGTTGGAAGGAAAAGAGATTTATAGCACAAACTTTAAAACAAACAAAAAACCCCCAAAACCGAAGTCAAAATAAAAACGGCATAAAATCTGGGCAGAGAAATGCCCCCATAATCCAAAGTTTGTTCTGGGTCTGTAAAAAAAGGGGGGGAGGGGGGACAAGGATCACCCAGAGGCTCCTTGCATTATTTCCCTGCTGAGTTTCATGAGACATGTCAGCCTCATTCTGACAAGAGACGCCACAAGGCCTTAATTCTCCTCTTGAGGTTTCCACGCAAGACGGGAGAACCTTAAGGCCTGCAACTTCTGCTCCCAGGGCGAAGCCTTCCTTTGCCAGCTGCCTATACAAGCAGTTCTCTCCTTAGGACTTCACAGCCAGGACGAGAAGGAGACCTGTGCATATTTGGGTGTTGTTTCGGCCTGAAACAACGGTGTGTGTGTGTGTCTCCTCTCAGGAGAGAAGCTGAGGGTTCATTTGAAGCAGCCACTGAACATTCTCCAGCAAGTGGGCCATTCCGTAATGCCGAGCGATGCCCTGGAAAACCTTCAGATGATCCAGGAAGCTCTGGATACGAGAGGAAAGAGAGAGGACGAAGGGGAGGTGGGCAACCCTCCAGCCGAGGGACGGAGAGGAAGGGGGAAGGCGCTTCGCCCATCAGTGGAGAGCAAAAGTCAAGCACCTGAGGGTGGGAGGCTGGGAAAAAAGCTAGAAAGTGGGCTTGACTCTACCTTGGTGGGCAGGAGGAGGTCAAAGTTCCCAGCACAACTGCAGTACACGGGCATGTGAGTATCCTTGATGCCTTTGCACTTCAAGCACACCTGAAACACTCAAGACACAACGAATTAGGCTCTGCTTCAGGTCCCCCAGATAATGATCTGTCTTTGCAAAGTTTGCAGCAAACTCAACACCCGTCCTCGGCACGCACCAGAGGGCCACGGTCCATGCCCTGCACTCCAGGGCGTAAAATGTCCAACCCCTGAATCCCCTCTGAGCTGCTCAGAGACTGGGAGAGGGCTAGAAACACTATGAGGGAAGACCACTGTGGCCCGGCACCCCCTCCTCGCTCATTGTCTATGGAGATTCTCAGCCGTCCAGGTCGTGGCTGTCCCAGCAGAACCATCCGCGTGGGCGGGCGTCCTGACCAGAGGAGCAGTGACCCCACCCCTCCTCACCAGATCTTGCAAGGTGAAGGCCATCAACTTCTTCTGCAGGGCTTCCACCAGAGCCACCTCGATGGCATCGGAGTCGTACTGAGACTGGCAATTGGAGCACAGCCAGCTGGGCGGCAGGGAGCCCTCCTGGAAGAGGGGAAGGAGGACTTGTGGGTGGGCTTTGGAGGAGGAAGAGGGAGAAGGGACTTGCAGGGGAACGGAGGCACTGCCATGGAAGAAGGACCAGGGAATCAGTGCAACAGTGCAGAGGCCCCCAACCTTTGCGGTCCTGCAGAGGGGAGGAGGGGAACCGGGCTGTGTGAGCGGTGGGCGCACAAGAGCATCTCAACTTGTGCAAGTGACATGCCGGTGTGCACACGCACACAGTTGAGCCGCGTGCGTGTGCCCTGTTCTGCAGCTTGCACAGCCCGGCTGCAAATAGGCCAGGGCTTGCTAATGGCCTGTGGGTTGGGGACTCCTGCAAGAAGGGATGGACAAGGTCAGGAACTGGCAACCTACATCCCGTATTGATTGTAGGCACCTGGAATTTCCCTCCTGGAAATGTAAGGATTTTGAGGCATGGAATGCAGGAGAGAAACAGAGAAATTAAACAGAAAAGCCTGGAGGAGTCCAGGTGCTCCGCAACTCCCGTAGGGAAGAGGGGCGGGGGAGACCAGCAGCAGCAGGTGGCAAGCGGAGGGCCTGCAAGCCTGGGAAGCTGGTACCTGAAAGAGCGCAGGGTCCTTGCAGAGGTCCAGGTCTCTGCAAAAGTTGCAGTTTCTGCAGATCACCTCCGGGAGGACGTAGGAGCAGCAGGGGTCCCGGAAGTGGGCGTCCTCGGAGAATTCGCCCACGTCAATGAGACGGAGCAGGTCCCGCTTCAGCTTCTGCACCTGGTTGGCGATGTTGGCATCCAGAGACAGCACCTGGGCGAGAGAGGGAAGGGGAGGGTGTCAGCGGGGGCCACTTTGATCTTGCGCTCAGGAGATAAGCAGGACCAGCAAACACAACTGGGTGTGTGTGTGCTGGGGGGGGGGGGGAAGAAGGGTTAGGGTGGTAGAGTTTCCACCTTCAAAGGCCAAAGGAAATTTCCCCTGTGGCATTTCTGCCTGCCTCTTAACGGAACTCCCAGATGCGGTAAAGAAAGCACGCTTTTCACCCTAACCATTTCCGCACAGGATAATTCATGCATGTGATGGAATATATACCCCCTCGTCTCTGGCAAAATATATAGCATTTCCCCCCAACCCCCCTCCAGGTTTTAACCGTTAACAATCCAATTACATGGTGGACAAGAGTGAATGGCTCAAAGCTCCTTTCTTGGCTTAGGGGAGGACTCGAATCTGGGTCTTCCCAGGTCTATTCCAAACTATCACCTTTCCGACCGGTGGGAGTTGCGCCCAAACGTATCTGGGAAGGGCTCAGCCAACTCACCCACCCCCTGCTTGGACCAGGGGACCCCGAGATCGTTCTTCCTGCTCGCTCCATCCTAGCCCTTCCTCCTCCTCCTCCTCCCTCCTCCCCCCAGGGGACTCCCTCACCTGGCAGACGTGTTTGATGAACTCCAGGGCAGGGTTGTTGAGCGTCAGGTGTGAGCCGGGCAGGGATGGAAACATCTCCGAGGGCTCTGTGGCGTGGCGAGAGCCGGTGACCTTCTTTTGGATCTTCTGAGTGATGGTGAAGAAGCTCTGGGTGAGCTCCTTGGAGACATACTCCTGCGAGAAAGCAATGGCGCCTAGGAGGGGAGGAGCAAGCAGACACAGCCGTTCGCCGATGGGGAGGGGGCTGGTATTGAGAAAGACAAGCCGCCCCCACCCAAAAAAGCCACACACTTTATGCTTTCTTCAGGGTGGGGAAGACATTTCTGTCCAGGTGAGAGAGAGTCTTAAGTTCAATCAATCAGGATGGAGCTGGAAGGGGCCTTGGAGGTCTTCTAGTCCAACCCCCTGCTCAAGCAGGAGAGTTATCCAATCAAGCTCAGGTCTTGCAGTCTTCTGACTGAGGAAATCTGGCTGCCAAATTTAAATAGGTAGCCTGGAATTGCTCTTTGAGCTCCGAGTTTCTGACCCGGGGCCTCTGGAGTCTCTCTGCTGTTGTGAAAGGGGGCTCCCAGCAGCTGAAGGGACAGCCCTTTGCTTGGTCGGTTAAGCTTCATATTTCTGTTACAATCTGCCTGCTAAAGCCATTCGTGGAGCTTAAATTCTCCTTGCCCACCGGGGTGTTCATGGTCTTTGGATGCTTAAAGGACCAACTCTCTTGGCACTTGGCCACAGCCTATCACTTGGCGAAGGAAGCTGGGAGTCGGTGAGTACTCGCCTGGCATGGTGCCCGTTTCCCCGAGAGCCTCCTGGGAGATTTGGCTGCTGGCTCGTCTCCTGACAGGGCTGCCTCCGGAGACGTCCCGCTGCATTTCCTCCTTCAGGCTGTGGTGAACAGCAACGATGTACGCTGGGAAGACAGAGGCAGAATGGTGAAAAGCCAAGCCAAGATTTGACCCCCTTCTTCCTCAAACCGTCTGGAAGTCGGGATATAAAGGCAGGCTGCCCTCAGCCACAGCTGGAACCGCAATTTCGGCCGTTAAGAGGCTGACGGCGTGGCAGAACGGAAGCAAGGACTCTGGGCTTTGGCTTGGCCTCTTCAGAAGTGGACCTTCGGCCAGAGCCCAGCTGCTGCTGAGACCCTGAAGCGCAGCCCTCCGCAGAACTTACCCGACACAATCATAAGGAAGTAATTCTGACAGGAAGCGGCTTGTGGTAAATACTGCATGATGTTCCAGTTGTTTTCCAGGCGATTCTCTATACCGTTTTCTCCCAAGTCATCTTCTTGTTCTTCCTCTTCCTCCTCCTCCTCTTCTTCATTGTTGGCTACCTCTGCTGTCTGTTTACTCCTCCTTGCCTGTATTTAAAGGAGTGACAATCAAGAGTTCTGCCTGCACAGTGGCTTCTTCCCAATTCCACCACTGTTGAGCCTTTTCTTTCTCTCGCCCCAAAGAGGGCTATCATTTTGCTTCGGTGAAGCTGAACGGAAAAGCCCATCTAGTTCCCTGTGTGAAGAGCAAAAAAACCCTTCACAGGATCACCAGGGGCCCTCTCCTTGCTATCCCTTTACCTCTTCGCAGTGGGTCTGGGACGGCACTTTGCCCTTGATCCCACCGTGATTGCTGGGGTCCATCCACAGCAAAAACTCCCAGCAACAGGAAAAGGAAATAGCCAGTGAGTGGAAGAGCTCTTTTGAATGGATGCTGGAAGGAAAAAGAGCAATAGCAGTTATATGCTGCTTGTCAGCGCTTTACAGCCCTCCCTAAGTGATTTACAGAGTCAGCATTTTGCTCCAAAACAATCTGGATCCTCATTTTACCGACCTCGGAAGGATGGAAGGCTGAGTCAACCTTGAGCCAGTCAGGATCGAACTGCTGGCAGTGGGCAGAATTAGCCTGCATTCTCACCACCGTTGTCACCACAGCGCAGGGGTGGAGGCACTGCGGAGCCCGTGCCTCCAGTCTGACTATCTGGCTGACCATAATCATCTAAACCTGGATTTAACTGGATCTCCTTTTAGTGGGCTTCAATGCAACAGACCACTTGAGCGGAGACGTCCCCCAGAGACATCAGATCAAGTCCATTAAATCACCATTCCACTAATGCTTCCGGGAAAGTGCTGGGAAGATGTGGGGTTGTATGATACACTATGAGGAGGGTAGGAAAAACAGGAGCTGGATAAAGAAGGGACAGGTGTGGGAAAGAGCAAAGATGGTAGAATGGGTGTTTTTGGCTGCTCCCAGACTGGCTGGGGAGAGACTGTAAGAGGGGAGCTGGCAGCCACAGCCTGAGCCCTGAAGGCACGAAAGACTTGGGAAGCACACATCCTTTTATGAATATGCATAACACTGAAGGGACCTTTTATGTATCCAGACATACTTTTGGGACCTTATAGAGGTCCACAATCAGCAGACATTCCTTCCCCTGAATAGTTCACTAAATCAAAGTTTTACTATATATGCCTTGTCTGACCTATGGGGATTTTAGGGGGGGCGCTGATCCAGGGTTCTGCACATACAAAGTTCTACTTGAAGGCTCAGGAATTATTTTTTTAAATTTAACAGCTGGCTCATTCCAGAAAACACAACACAAAGAAAAGCTTTTCTGTTCTCCAAAATGCCAAGATAAGGAAGCAGATTCCAGGAAGCACCAAGGAGAAATTCCAGGATTGTCCCAAATTTTTCAGAATTGCCTCCCTTAAATTAATTGCACGGTGGGGCACAAAGCATTATCTTTTTTTTCCTCCACTCACTTAACGGCCTCCCTTCCTAACCATGACACTGGGTGAGAGCTGTGGCAACCTGCTTCCAGGAGGGGCACACCTGTTGGTGATATACTCGACGTAGGCCAGGGCATCTTCGATATGGCGCTTCTTGGTGCACAGAACGATCCGGTTGAAATTGGCGTAAATGACCAAGGAGCCGAGGCGCTTGAATTCTGCCACCAACCTGGAGGAGAGGCAGGAGGAGGTAAAGAGCAGAGTCCGGTCTAACTGGCGACGCTTGTGGAAAATGTTATATATATATACTTGTATCTTTTCTCTGTTACGGGTTATTACTTTTAGGGCGCTACAACTTTCAGAAAAGCCTCTTGGACATCTTGAGTCTTAGAACAGGGGGTCCCCAACCCCTGAGCCACGACCGGGCCGTGGCCTATTTGGAATCGGGTCACGCAAGTGGCTGGCTGGGGTGCTTGCAGGCAACCCAGCCTAATTTCAGAGAAGCAAATTTTGCAGAGGGCCACGAGGTAGTTCCCGTGGTACAAAACAGATGCCAGGAAGATTTAGACCCAACAGATGCCAGCCTAAAGGAAAGCTTTGAACGTTAACAGATGCCAGTCTAGAGGAAGCTACGTGGACTCCAGTGACCTGTCTATAAGCGGCATTTCCCCCAGGCACCCCCGGAGTTTCTCTCCTGGCTCCCCAACTCTGCCACTCTGCCACGGAAAGACTCACTGCAGAAAGAGCTTCTTCATCATGCTGTGGAGCGTCCGGTGCAGGGCGGGATCGTAGAGAAGGGAGTTTGGAGAGCGCAGCCAGCGGTAGAAGTGGATCACCTGATTGTCCGCGTAGACGTTGTGGTACTGCGTGATCTCCTTCACCCAGCCCACCACCAGGCTTTTCAAGATCCTGCATGGGAACAGAAAGGAAAGGCCTGCGTTCTACACTCCCCAGGTGAGCTGCTTCTATGACCTGGAGGGCTGGGGAGGGGGGGGAGGGGGAGGCCGAGCCACACCTGAACGTGTTGGAGCAGAGGGCGGCCTCATCGTAGCTGGCGGGGACGCTGGCCGCCTGGTTGCCCACGACCATGTCCTCCAGGGAGGCCTGCTGGATGACATCGAAGCTGATGCACATGCTGGAGGCCCCCTCCATGTCGTTGATGCGGTGGGACTGCAGGATGGTGTTGACGGCCAGGTTCTGGAGGTCCAGCTCCACACACACTGCCGGAGGGCAAAGAGACAAGCTTGCGTCTTTCCTGGGGACCCACCTCCCTAAAAGGGGACAGGCTCAGCCCACAGAGAACGGCCACTCTGCACTGTGATTGGGAAAGGACCACAGGGAGCCCTCGACTTACGGCGCCCCCAAATGGAGGTTGCTAAGCGAGAAACCTGTGAAGGGAGCTTTGGCCCGTTTCACTTTTTGTCTTGCCCCCTTCGTTCAGCGAATCGCTGGAGTTATTAAATTAGTAATGCCGTTGCGAAGGGACTGACTTTGCTCTGCAGAAGGTCGCTAAAAGGGGATCACGTGACACACAAACACATACACAAACCCCAGGGGCACTGCAAAGGTCGTAAATGTGAGTCAGGCGCCAAGCGTCCGAATGTAAATTCCTCAATTCCTTTTCCATCCGAGGGAATTAGCACGACGGCCCTTTGGCTGCTGCAACGAGGGGGGGGGGAAAACAAAAGCAGGATCTCCCTCCCTTCGTTATTCACCTGTTGAATAACAGCCTGGGTGGTTGATCTCCACAGAGGCCCTTTCATCGAACTCCATGACTAAGCGGCTATCGTCGGCCTCCTTGCCCCCCAAGTCCGGGCGGGAGGTGGGAGAGAGCCAGAGGAGGTGGTTGTGGCGATGGAGATGCCGAGAGAGAAAGAGATCCGTGCCGAAGATGGAGATGTCGTCTGGAAGGTTCCCAATGGGGAGGTGATAGTACCTAGAGAGAGAAGGCAGGAAGGCTCACCAGGCAGCGGAGAGCCAAAACAGTTGGCTAAAGCTTGTACAGCACTGCCTCATGGCCCCCCAATAAAAGGCTCACTTCTCCACGTGAGACCTCTGAAATGGGGACACTGGATGCCAGCGCCGGCCTTTGGTTGGTATTTCCCAGTTGCAACTTCAACCCCCATTTTACTATTTTTATATTTACAGCAAAAGAAGGGAGGACTGAGCCTCCAGGTCCAGATTCAGGACAGGTAAATCCAACTGCCCGTTTCCCTCTCCCACAGGGCTCACCTGCTCATGTCAAAGGCCTGAGACAGACACATGTCCAACTTGAGGTAGCGGCGGATCAAGTGCCGGGCCCCGTGGCGCTGCCAGTCCAATATGCTGTAGCTGATGTCATCTGCCACGTGCATAGGGACCAGCGGGAACTCCTCCAGGACCGGCATCCCACTGACCAGCCTCTTCAGATCCCAGTTAGACTGCACAGCGATGAGGGTGGGGCCCCTGCGCTCATCCTGCGACAGACAAGACAAAGTACTCTTAAGGAGGGTGGGAGATGGGAGAATTTGGGTGAGGCAAGAGGGGAAACGCAACAACGAGTGTGGCAAGGTCCTCCGCCCCAGATATTTTATTCCCGGCAACCTGGAATAACTCTTTGGTCGTCTAATAGGATTTATTTTCTCAGCAAGGTTGAGAATCCTCCCATTTCCCCCCACCATCCAGTCAGAGTGGAAGAAGCTTCTTGGAGGAGAAGCGAAACGTCTTCAAAGAAAAAACAAGAAAGTCCAGTTGCCTTGTGAAAAAGCATCTTTTGGCTCAACAAGATTTGGTATAGATAGAAAGAATGAAAAAAAGTCCCAGAAGATCAGGGGAAGATTTGCATTAAAAACCTCTAGGAATTAGGGGAAAAAAAGGGGGGAAAAAAGAGCCAGGGGCCCAGGGCAGCAGAACCACCTCAACAGCCAGGCTCCTGAAGCATCTCCTCGGAGGGGCTGAGTTGGAAGAGGGAGACTGCCCAGCGCGCGTGTGTTTCTTACCTTGTAGCTCATCAGGAGGCGCTGGAGCGCTCTGCAGATACTCTTGAGATCCGTTTCGGCTCGAACTTCAAAGATGTGCTTGGCCGGAGGGAGCAGCTCTTGGCCTATCTTCTCCACCATGGAAGCATGCTCAGCAGAATACATGGTGCCGAGGTTGGGCATCTGGTTACTGCGCACCTGAGTCAAATGTGTTACACGAGAGAGAGAGAGCTGAGCTGCAGGAAGGGAGTCTAGGGAGCAGGGAGGTCTGACGTGAATCTGGTTATTAACACAGATTTGGGAGGTGGGGAGGAAGAGACTGAGACTTTCAGGATTGATGTATTGGCTTGTATCCTGCTTTGATACCGCACAGATCTGTTTTTACCACTCTCCCGTTGTCCGAAGGAAGGCTATTGGTTTGATGAATTTATTTTACATTTACGAAGGGTGACCACCCCAAGGCCTTCATGGTGGGTAGATAACTCCACAACCTACAGCATCGCTGCACACACACACATGTACACCTTCTTCAAACAGCTGCAAATCTGACGTAGGCAGGATCAGACCATGACTTTGGCTCTCGGTATAAAAGACCCGGTGCGTGGCAACACGGAAACTTTTTTTTTTCTCTGCCTGACAACTTACTGTATCGAGCACAAAAATGGAGGCTTTGCGCTGGGAGGGGATGAAGAGGCCCAGCAAGGCCTTGCTGCCCTGGGAGTGGTGGTAGAGGTAGATGTGCCGGATGCTCCCTAGAGGCAGAAAGGAGCCGTGCATCAGAGGGAGGTCAGCCCTTCCACGGCTGCAGGACACCTCAGCCTCCCACGTGCCTCCCTACCGGGCTCCAGGTAGCTGAACTGTGCCAGAGACTTCCTCTCCAGGTGCTCCAGGTCAAACGTCTCGGCTTCCCGGCCACTCAGGTGCCTCACCAAATGCTTATTCACCATGCAGACGCAGCCCAGGTGAACCAGGGCCCGGAGGAGTAATGGCACCTGGGAAAGAGGAACCGGTTGTATACAAAGCATTAAGTCAGACCTCCCTTGGAATCCTGCATCCACAAGACCCTCCCCAAAAGATGCTGAGTCCCTAGAAAGAGCGCAAGTGTCAACATCCGGTTCGAGGAGCCCAAAAATAAATCCAGGTTCATTCCGTTGCCGAAAATCTTACTGTTTATTGAATACGCGGCATGGCATTGTCGAAGGAAAACTAACTCTGAGGTTCCCAGACACCCAATTCATACAATTAAACAATAATTTGTCTGGCCAACACCCCACCCCCTTCTCAGGTAGTCCATGTAAATAGATTCACTTTGTTATGGGAACCGTCTGCTTCTTCTCCACACCTGTTGGGGTGTCCTTGGAAAGGTTTTAGGCTCTCACGGTCTTCAATGGAACCGTAGAGGTTTCATTTCTCCATTTTAACCCATTCTAAAGCAACACCTCCCCCCACCCCTTACTCTAATGGCACCTGCCCATTTTCTCTTTGAATCAAGACATTACCTGGGTCTCATAAACCCCCTCAATGTCTGGAGCAGAGAGGCTGGCGTTGATCTCATTGATGCGCTCCAGGTACATATCTTCAGGCACCGAGTACTCGTACAGGTTGAAGGCCAAGCTGGAACGGGGAAGAATTCGATTCACCTGCAAAGAGAACAGGAGGAGCTCAGAAGGAGACCTCTTCTCTTTCTGCCCTGAAGGCATTGATGGATTCCAAGAGTTTAATCAAGCTCCCTGCCTGTGGAATGAACCCACACTTGGGGTCCGCACACTTTTGGTTCTCAGGAAAGGAGTTAAGCACTCCTTTCATTTTTAATCTGGGTCTCTTCAGTTTAAATCAGTTAATTGTTAACAGTGATTTTTAACTGCAAAGACATTTGTTAGACTTCAACCGTTTTTCATGGTTTGTCTTTTAGCTGACAAGACTAGAGCACCTCCGTATAGGAATGGAGTATGCTGAAGTAATCTTCCTCCATAGTTTCCTTAGCAAAATGAAATGGAAGAAAGCAGGGGCAGTTTAACTGACACAGCCCAACACAGCGGGAGTAAACTTTCACAAGAAGGTTTTGGATGACCTGGGAAAAAGCTACCTGAATGACCAGATGAGAAGGTTTGGGGTGGAACAGAGAAAGGCTAGCAGAAATTCAATAATCCCTGAAAAATCCTTAACACTACATTGCTCTAGGCCGTTCTAATGACGGTGCCATCTTCCTGAAAGAGAACAGCATTAAGGACACCTAATGGCCTCTGAACGCTGATTTAACAGGCACAAAAGGTTTAGGGGTGAGTGACAGGTACCTTTCTATAGACCGTGCTCTCTTCAGGTTTAGGAACACGCTGGTTGATATAGAAGATACGTGGGACATTCAGCTTGAGGCAATAGAGATCACTCCCAATCACAGCCCATAGCTTGAAGAGGCCTGGCTGGCCAGTCTCAGCAATCTAGCAGAGGGAAAAAAAAGGTGGAAGGGGGATAAGGACCGAGGAAAGACCAGGTTTTCAGCAGTTGTGCCCACGTTGAACGTCGTATCTTGCCCAGGGACCTCAGCAGTGGGTGTGCCCTCCTTTATGCCCCTACCTGTACTATCTGCCAGGGCATGTCAAGGATACTCCGGGCGGTCTTGCGCAGGTAATTGCTCAGCCCTTTGGAGGGCCCAGCTCGGATCACTCCGCCCCCCAGGACGGCTTCTCCATCGGCCAGCCTCCGCTTCTTCCGGCGCTCCTGGCGCTGACGAGCCTGAAGCTCCCACTTTTTCTTATGGTAGCGGAGCCACAGCAGGCGTTCCTCCTACGGCAGAGCAAACCAGACGGAGGGACTACAGGGAGCTGCAAAGCCATCTCAGGTGCTGGAGCTCAGGCACCTGAAAGGTTTCATCTAGACAGAAGCCGGAAACGTGCCAAATGCATGACCATACCGGATACCCCTTGAGTTGGAACAGCTCTTCTTCACAAGGATAATAACCAAGCCCTTGTGAGCCGCAGCCATAAACTTCCAATAATTTCCTTTTTCTGAAACTATCTCCATGGCTTTCCCACCGGGCAGCCCCAACCTCAAAACGACCCTTGCTGAGAAGATCTTGGCCTGTTCTCTGATGCAGTTGCGGTCCTGAAGAAGCTGACTTACTTTAGTGGTGCCGATGGGTGGTGGGGTTCCCAGGATCTCCCTCCACGATTGGGTGAGCTCCAGAGCTTGGGACTGGGGCTGGCTCTCCTCCGCTGTGGGGATTCGTTTACGCTTGCTTGATATAGGGGGTCCTGGCTGCAGAGGTTTGGTGACCCCAAAATCTTCCATGTCGGTCACCTGACTATTTGGGGTATCCTCCCTGGCTATGTTAGTGGAGACCTACGGGAAAGTCCACAGGCAATTATATAAAGGATGTCAGCTCTGACATGTCGGTGTCCTCCCCCTAAGCCAGGGGTAGGCAACCTTGGCTCTTTTTATGACTTGTGGACTTCAACTCCCAGAATTCCTGAGCCAGCCACGCTGAGGGGAAAGGGAGAGGTTTCCAAGCTGAACCATGCTGGCTCAGGAATTCTGGGAGTTGAAGTCCACCAGTCATAAAAGAGCCAAGGTTGCCTACCCCTGCCCTAAGCCCCCCAGAGGCCAGAGGCGATGGCAGAGAACTGCCAGTTGGTCCCCTTACCTGTCTTTTGCCTTCACTGGCAAAGAGCTCGCTGATTTTTTTCTGCTTGAAGACGTCATTTTTCTCCAGCAGCTTCTTGTGCAGCCAGTCCGGATGACGGACACGGGGGACCGGATTCTTCACCTGTCGGGACATCTCACATTTATCCCTTACTGGTTTTCATTTCTTTCTCCTTTTCCAGTGAGGAGGGTACAGGTAGCCAGCAACGCACGGCCGTTGCAGCATCCCAATGGTCTGGTGATCAAAATCCAGCCGCTTGGCAACTGACTCGTATTTATGACGGTCGCAGCGTCCCGGGGTCATGTGATCCCCTTTTGCAAACTTCTGACAAGCCAAGTCAATGGGGGAAGCCAGATTCACTTAACAACTGCAGTGATTCACAACATCTGTGGTAAGAAAGGTCGTAAAATGGGACAACATTCACTGAGCAAACATCTCAGTTAACCACAGAAAGGTTTGGGCTCCACTGTGGTCGTAAGTAAAGGTCTACCTCTACTTGGCCCCCAGGCTCATTTTACTGCACATTCTGTTTTCCTACCCTGTTTGCATGTAAAAATGTCAGAACTGGCTTTTTCACTTCTGTACCCGTGTGGCTTTTCATGAAAGTTATACACTTGGAGAAAACATATCCCAAGAGGTTCTATTACACAAACTAGATCATGTCACTAGGGGTGACATGAAAGCAGTCTTCCAATATCTCACAAAGAAGAGGGGGGTCAATTCTCCAAAGCACCTGAAGGCGGGACAAGAAGCAACGGATGGGAACTGATCGAGGAGAGAAGCAACCTGGAATTAAGGAGAAACTTCCTAACAGGAAGGACAATTAACCGGTGGAACAGCTTCCCTCCAGAAACTGTGGGTGCTTCATCACTGGAGATTTTAAAGAAGAGATTGGACAGCCGTTTGTCTGGAATGGTATGGGACTTCCTGCCTGAGCAAGGGGTTGGACTAGAAGACCTCCAAGGTCCCTTTCAACTCCGTTATTCTGTTCTGTTTTACTGTTTAATGCAGTGGGATGGTTGACCCTCTCTCAAAGGATTCGCTCCCGAGCATAATTACCTGCTGCAGTGCTGCTGGGATGGTGACAATCTTCTGGATTGTGCTGCCCAGTCTTTCAATGTAATACTCCCAGTCTAGGATCTGCAGAGAAAGCAGACAACCCAGATTAAGCCCAGAGGGATAAAACTGAATTACTGTACCTAAATTAAATCTCTGGTTATTAATACTGGCCACCGCGAGTATATTCCAGTAATCCTGGGGAAAGCATAGTATTCCAGGAGTCGTGAATCTGGACGATAACCAGATCAGATCCATTCAATTTAGCCTAATTGGCTCACCATTCGGATGTCAAAATCCTGCAGCGAAGGACTTTTTAGCCACTTCCGGAGGTAATGCTTGCGCACCGAGAGCTCGGCCTGGAAGATGGCAAGTGGGATGGCTCTGGGTGGAAGGAAGAATGGATTAGTTCTCCTCAAAGCCAGCTGAAGAAAAGCACAGGGGGTCCTTCCCTTACAAGAGTTCGTTTAGTGACTGTTAAAAGTTACAGTGGCACTGAAAAAAGCGACTTACGGCCGTTTCTCCACACTTACGACTGTGACGGCATCTCTACAGCCACGTGATCAAAATTCAGGCGCTTGGCAACTGACTCATATTTATGACGGGTTCACGTGATCGCCTTTTGCAACTTTCTGGCCAGCCAAGACAATGATTCCTTTTACAACCTCAACAGCTGCGATGACTCACTTTACAACGGTGGCAATAAAGGTCGTAAAAGGGGGCAAAATTCGCTTAAGGAATGTCCCACTTAGCAACAGAAAATCTGGGCTCATTTATGGCGGTGAAGTCAAGGACCACCATCACCTGGAAACCTTTTCTGCCTCCAAAAGTATGGCTTGTGCCGAGCTTTTGAGCCCGTCTCAGAAAGACTGGCCTTTCTCCCTTTTAGCATCTTTCCCGCCTTCCGTTGCCTCCTGAAAATGGGAATGACAGCTCCTGCTCACCTCTCAGTAACCGGGGACCCTTCTGGTTTCTTTGAGATGATAAACCGACAGCTCAGGCCGGCATCCTTCACCATCTGGTCCCCAAGAAACTCAGCCAAGCGCTTGGCGGTGCTGATGGACGTGGATTTTTGCTCTCCGTAGTCCTCCAGCTTCCGAGACATGGATCTGTTCTCCGAGATCAACTCAAACAGCTCAGAATCGGGCATGTTGGCTGCCTGGAAGGAAAAAGACAACACTTCTTTTTTTCTGCCGCTGTAGCCCTCGGCCTTCCCTATGGATTCAGACGTATGGATCCGGTGCCCACAGGAAGCTACGTACAGCTTCCTCCTTCGTAGCTCCTTCCAGTAGTGCATTATTTGAACACCCAACGGGCTCAGCCGTGGAAGTAAAAGGAAGAGGCATTGTACCACCACCACTACCAGCAGCAAGAGGGTAAAGTACGCTGTATAATTTGTAATTAATTGATTCTCCTTGTTTCGGTTTCCGTGAAGTCCCATTTAAGGGTAAAAATAGCGACAGCGGGGCGAAAAAGCAGCTGGCAACTTCAAAAATCCTCAAGGCTGTTTTTCACTGCCTTTTGGGAAAGGCCTGCTTTCCCAGCTGTCCCAGGAAACAGCGATCTCTTTCCGGAAGTGAACTTCCCAGGGCAAAAATTGATTTTGCTGCATTCCAAAGACCGTGAAGCTGTAGAAGGTGTGTGCATGTGTCTGCCCACCTGCACTCGTCTCATCTCCCTCCCGGGGCCCACAAAAGCACCCTGGGATCAACCCTGACCCTTTGCTGCAGGAAGAAATTTGAATCCCGGCTCTCACCTTGCTGTGCAGCACATCCAGCCAGTAATCGGCTACTTTGGCGACCGAAGCGTAGACCTCCTCCAGCGTGGTGCCCTTCAGGAAGGCCTCGAAGACCGAGGACTGGAAGATCTTCACCAGCTGCAGCTCTCCTCGCCGCTTCACCTCAAAGCCCTTCAGCTCGGCCAGGGAACCGTCTTCATTGAACACGGCGTATCTGGGACACGGCAATCGTCATCGGCAGGGAGAAGGCAAACTCCCTCCGCCCGTATCTAGCACCGTGTCCCTCCCCTCCCAAAAATAAGGCTGGGTCTCATATTAATTTTTGCTCCAAAAGAGGCATGAGGGTTTATTTTCCGATGAGGGGTTATATTCGGGGAAATACGGTATTCAATGTGTCCATCTGGCTGACGGATCTTCAGTGGGGCTTATTTTGGGGATGGGGCTTATATTACGAGCGTCCTGACAAAAATCATGCTAGGGCTTATTTTCCAGTTGAGTCTTATTTTTCACAGCATTTGGATGGCAATCTCTGATCCCTGCCGCCTGGAAGAATCTAGACATGCCAGCATGCTCAGGTGCCATGTTTCAAGACCACTTTTCAGCCTCCCTTTACCCCACCTGCCCTCTCTAAGGAGACCCCCTTCCTGAAACGTTTAGTCTTCCCAGCCCTGGACTCTCACCTTTTCTTTAGCTTCTTGCCCTCCTCCTTGGAGGCTGGGAGGATCATAGCCAGATAGGGACCATCTACTTCAAAAAAGATGCTGTTCTCTGAGCGGGATACATACTTGAGGGATGCTGGGTCCACCAGCTCCTGGTACTGATTGTTTGTAAAACCCTCCTGTGCAAAAAAAAAAATAAAAAAATGGAGACACACACGTTGCCTTTGGCACCATATATGTTATTTCTGCAAAAGAAAGGGAAGGCCCATCACCACACACAGCATTCAAAGCTTTGTTACTGATATTTGTTGTATATTTTGTGGATCATGCAGCTTATTTTTTCACGCATGCATATTAGGCAAAGACAAGAATTGCATTTTGCTAACCTTCCTTTACTGTTTAGGCTTGAGATGCTCTAAACGCAGGGGTAGGCAACCTTGGCTCTTTTATGACTCGTGGACTTCAACTCCCAGAATTCCTGAGCCAGCCACGCTGAGGGGAAAGGGAGAGGTTTCCAAGCTGAGCCATGGTGGCTCAGGAATTCTGGGAGTTGAAGTCCACCAGTCATAAAAGAGCCAAGGTGGCCTACCCCTGCTCTAAGGAGTCAATCTAACAGATTCCTGTCTGGTGTTACACAGTCCCAAGTGAATATTTTAATTTGCATTCTACTGATTTTGCCTGGCTAATCAGCAGCAAGTTTCTAGACAAGAACCTTTCCCAATTTATCCAACGTAGAACCCTGGAAATGTCCCAAGAATCTCAATTACAATTAAGGGCTGTGGAAGCTAGCTCCTGAACCATGGGAACTGACTCTATATCCTTGTGGAGAAAAGAATGTACTGTGAAGCTCCTCACCTTCACCATGATGTTCAGCATAGCCCCTGGATAGGAAATGGTCACCTTGGGTTTCTTGGAGTGGGTTGACTTGATGACAAAGTTCTCTGGAAAGCTATTTGGAAGCACACACCATATCCCATCTGTGTCAAGCTCCAGGGGTCTCCTGCAAAGGAGAAAACAGGAGATCGTGTTGAGATAACAAAACACACAATGCCATGCCAAGACCAGAGACTGCCAATGCCTTGGTGGTTAACAGGTATATTCTAAAAAAAAACTCTTTATGTTCTGTCTGAACACCTGAAAAGACTCGTCTTAGAAGAAAGCAAAAACTTAGTAAAAGCGAGGAGGTCTTCAAGTCCAGGGAATAGCATCCATGCAGCTTTCCTGGCATATTACAGAAGTGGTTTCCTATTGCCTAAATGAGGAGGAGGAGGAGGAGGAGGAGGAGGAGGAGGAGGAGGAGGAAAAGGTAAGTTTAGATGAGTTTAAAGGCCCCTCCAACTCTTGGACTGTATGATTCTGTTATTTCCATTCCGGTCCTGAGGAAAGGCCAGATTTGTTCCAAATTATATCTTGCAATCAGAAACAGGAGAGAACTGGAACTGGGCTCCTCCTGCTGAGGTAAACAGGTTCCCTCCATTTCAGGGGAAACAGAAGGAGAAAAGCTTTCTAGAGCAAGATAATAGCTCTCCTGTTTATCTGCTCCCTCCAGGACTCACCCGATCTGCTCAATCAGCTCTCTGGCCTGAGTGATGATATTGGCCCCCGTGAAGCAGACGATGCCAGCCATTTCCATGGAATACCAGCGGGCCCTGCGCAGGGGAGAGAAAACGAAGGGGTTGAGGTTTGAAAGAAAAGCAGCTCCTCAGAGGCCAGGGATAGAGGGGTCCAAGAGGTCATCTAGGTCAAAACTGCACGGCCCTCTCTCAACAGAGAGGGGAGGGATACAACATCCTCTATCTCCAGTCTACCACAGTCCTTTCAGCGGTTCCAAGAAGGCCCCACGCCCCTTGGTGACCCTGAGGACACAGATAAACCTCCACGTGGCCTCTGCGACCCTCTAAAAGAAGGCAAATGACCAGCGGTCTGCAAGGAGTATCAATCCTTCCCTTCCCCACCATCCAGTCAGACGAGAAGAGAAACGTCTTGAAAGAAAAACAAAGGAAGTCCAGTTGCCTCCTGAAAAAGCAGCTTTGGGGAGGCCGTCGAGGGCTGCATCCATTTAGATCAGTTTTACACTCACCCTTTCCGCATGACGTAGCCGTAAAAGGAGTTGAGGATGCACTTGTGTGCCAGCTGCAGGGAATCGTACAAGATCTCCATGTTCTTGCAGCGCTTCGCTTCGGAGGCATCACCCATTTCGGTGGCAGCTGCCAGCTTCTTCTTCCATACCTGGAACAGGGAGACAGGAAAGACTTATAATCCTTACAGGCATCTTTGAAGGCCCAGAGAGGATTTCTTGAGGCACAAAACCACAACGGGAGACTTTAATTACCCTGACACCAACCGGGAGACAAACTCTGCACCAAGTGGAAGATCAAACAGATTCCTGACAAACCTAGCAGACAACTTTGTGAGGCACACGGTTTGGGGCGAGGAGCAGAATAACCCCAGTCACACCTTATGTAATCCTTTAAACTCATAGCGACGGTCTCGAAAAGCCCGGACAGTATCCACGTAGAAGGAGTTTTCTCGCTGACAAATAGTAGTGACCCGCTCCTCCACTTTCGTCACGTGGATCTTCTTGTAAGCTTTGCGACAATAATCTGCTCAAAAGATAGAACAGAGGTGTTTTTAATCCCAAATGCGGGACTTTCCCAGGAAAACCGTTCTAGATATTCCCCAGACGCAGAGACCATTCGCCGGTTTTGTGTGCTTCACTTGGGCTGCGTCGCTTGCGTTAAAAGATCAACAAAAGTTGGCGAGATGGGAGGCCTGTAATAAATAATAATGACGACGCCCCTCTTCCCTTGCTCATCTGGAAGGAATATCGGCCTCCACTTTAGAACTTGGAAACAAGAAAAGCCACGTTCGGAATTTTATTCTCACCAGCCAAGCGCTTCTTTTCGTATTTGGCTTGATCTTCTCGAGAGAGCTCGTGAAAGGCCCGGGGAGGCCCATCTGGGAAAAGAGCAGGAAACTTCTCCGACTCCAGCTGTTGCTGGATGCGGTGGAACTCGCTCCGGCTTGCTGGCACTGCCAATGTAAGGAAACAAAAGGAGCTAAGAATACTACTGAATATTCAGGTCTAGAGAATAACAACTGAAAAGAGTTACGCTTGGGTCAACAGACGCTAAGACTTACTGAATTCTCCCCTCCATTGCCAAGTCATTTTCCGCTGACAGCTGGCCCCTGGCTTGTTGAAGTCACAAGCAGCACAGGTTGCCTCGTCCACTATAGCCGAGGGCTGAGGGGGAAGGAAGAGTTCATGAAAAAGGCCACATCAGAAGAGGGAGAAGAGAAACGGGCAGTTTATGCACTGGCCGAGCCGGATCTTATCTTTGCAGCCCTTCAGTTCATTAATATGAGACCTCTGTGGTTAAAGGAACATGCAAGGCAAAATTCAGCACTGGACCAGGCATGAGGAGAAAAGAAGGAACATGAGATTACCTTCGAGAGCTACGTTTAAATGCACTGACATCTAGTGGAAAACTCAAATTACAAATAGCTTTGTAAAAGAAGCACCAAGTAAAGACATTCTTATCACTGAATTTGAATGCAGAGAGGATAATGTTATTGTACAGCATGGAATCTTTGGCTTAGCTGCTCCTTACTCCTGGCTCTTTTCATTCTCTGTCCGTGCGGCGCTTAGTTGTAAGCACCCAGATAAAATGCCCCCATTACTGTTACTGAGATCACAAGAGGGCTTACATTGTGTCCAATAAAATATATTGCTCTCTCAGGCTATTTGAAAAAGACTTCGGCTCCTTGACGGATCCCTGCTCTCCTGTCCTTCACGGTGGCTAACTAAGATTTTCTTTACATCACAGAAGAGGAATAGTATTTTTCCGTCTATATCCTTCCTCTGCCAAGAAGAGGTGGTGTGTTTTTCTCAGAGCCATTCAGGAAACAGAACGCCCACGTCATCAATTACAAAACAGATTCAACTCTTGTTTCGAAGAAAAGAATTTTAAAATTCCATTCTGGCCTTGATCCACCGGATTACACCGAATTGCTAGAACCACATTTTCCCTGGTTCCCACCGTGAACCAAAACGAGCCCCCCACCCAAAGGCAGAGAATTAAAGGCTTAGTACCCCAACGTCCATAGCTACAAAGAAAACCTTCTTCACCTGCAGCCTGTTGGTCAAGATGATGTTTGGGTACATGGCCCCCACATCCAGATGGTAAATGAGGGGACATTCGATTCTGTTGGGAACATCCTTCAGGGAATTCAGTTTCACTTTGATCTCTTCACAAACCTGCGCAAAGGGAAGAAATGTAAGGCAATCAGGGGAAAGGAAGCTTTTGCAGGAACAGCAGCGACGTTTTGCTGAGCTGCACTGAAAATAACACATGTCCTTCAAGAACACGGCGAGCAAAATGTACACGGGGAACTACACTGCTTGTCACGGACCACGTCTGTCTCTGAGGAGGCAATTGGCAAGGCTGGCAAAGAAAGGAAGGGCGCTGCCCTTCCTCATCACGTGCCTATCTACATCCCCATGAGCAGGAGTAACAATCAAGAAAGAAATAGTATAGCCATCAAAGCTGGCAGAACAATCTATCATCTATAAAAAGCAAGCAGGCTTTATTCCTTCGTGCACTGGCGGTGTTACCTCGCTTGGCAACGAAAAAAAGAAAACTGAGTTTGAAAATCACCCAAACCCCAACAATTGAACCCTGATTTATATTCTTCACTACTAGAAAAAGAAAAAAGAAAGGAAAGGAAAGAAAAAGCAGAACAGCTGAGAAGCCAAAGGACAGACACAAGAATCAGAAACCGCGTCAATAAGAAGAGACAACTTCAACCGTGACTGCAACGGAAGGACAGGGGAATGCCGAACGGGCCCTGTCGGCGTTGCCTCAAGACCCAGGTCGATTTTCCTAGGCGTGGAAGATTTACCTCTTGGAAATTGGTGACCTGCTCTAAGGGGATCCCCTCCTCTTCCTCAACGGCATGGCAAAGCGTCTTCTCCACACGCTGCAGGAGCAAGTCAAAGGCGGCAGGGTTCTGAAGAAGAAAGACCCAGGAGAGGAACTTTAGCATTCCAATTTGGTTAAAATCCACAGTGCCCCAGAACAATGACTGGGAAAAAAAAATCTATGCAACAGAAGGCAAACAGAAATGTTATTGGCTGCTTGGGAGAATTCCTACTTCATCAGTGCCCAGAACCGAGTTGAGAGGAACGGAGTCCGCCCTAAGAACAGACCATGTTTAAAGTGAAGGCTCCTGGGTGCTCTCTGAGCTTGCTTGTTTTCTGACAGACATTTCCTTATCCAAACTAGGTAACACCATCCTGATGACGTCACCTAGTTTGGGTAATGAAACATCTGCAAGAAAACAAGCAAGGACTCCTCATTTCAACCCCGAGGTACAAATATTCTCCTTTATTGATATATTTAAAGTGTTTCCCTGGGGGGGGGAGTTAAAATTGGCCATTTACACTGAATGCTATATATTTACAGAAGCCATCCGTTCTTCACTACCCACGTAGGTTGTTTTGCCTTCCCACCGGAGCTCTGTACCATTTTAAAGCGGCAGGGGATATCGCTGCGAAAGACCCCAGACTCCAGGGCCTCCACGTGGCCCCCGATGTACGTCTCCGAGTCGAGCACGTGCCCGTCCTCTGTAAGCTTGTTGAACTCCTGCTCTTGCTTGTTGGGGAAGACAATGTTGGCGTGATAGGCTTGGACCATGAGTAGCGCCTCACACAAGGTTCCTGAGCCTTTCCGAAGGACCTGCAGGAGGAGAGAAGTTGGCCTGCTGGAAATGAGGTGAACCCGCACTCAGGCCCAATCCAAGCAGAAGGGAAGCGCTCCCTTACTGACCTCATCGGGCTCCATCGGAATGATAGTGCACAAGGCGAAGATGAAAGGATGGACATACTTCATGTACATGTAGTAGGTGGCAACAGCATCTGACACTGAATAGGTGGCCAAAGTCTGGAAGAATCAAGAGACCAGTTTAATACACTGGCACTGGAAACCAGTGCCCTGAACTGCATTTGTTCAGGGGGCATGGAGAGTGCTCAGGAATTCCCTGTGGATTGGCACATGGATTTGGGAAGATCACTTCTTATGGCTGTCCCATTTGAAGACAGGGATTTGGCTCCCTGATAAAAGTTTTTGAAACAAATCTATCTTAGTGACCCACTAGTGGCCTAGTGAGTCTTTTGACTTTCAAAGAAAAACTATTGTTCGAGCACACCACGTACGTGCTAGAGGTTAAACCTCGACACCCAGAATCCCCCCCACTTAGCCTGGGACAAGGCTGAGAATTCTGTTTGAAATTACTTTGGGGAAACTTTTTGAAGACTGGGGTCACCAAGTCACAGCTTCAATCTCAGCAATTACACAAGGCTTCCATGAACAGATTTGTGTCCCACAGATATTAAGGAAGTTACTGGTGTGAAAAAGAACACCTTGGAAAATTTACAAGAGACGAAATAATTTTTGCCTGATGCATAAATATCAGAAGAAAAATTTAATAATAATAATAATTTAAAAAAACACCCCACAAAAGTTAGCGTTGGTGGGAATTTGCCTTGGGATGGAAATACCTGAGGCTCTTCCGTTGCCATCCGGCACATGTCTTCAGGATCCAGCTCTACGGGATCGTAACCCAACTTCGCTTTGGCTGCTGCTTTTAAGTTGTGGCTGCCCACTGGAAGGTAACTGTCTCTCTTCACCCACCTGCCAAGAGGAACCACAGGACCAGAACTGAGTGGTGAATAAATCAGGGGAGATAACAAAGCTGGCATGGAAAAAGGGGCTTTCTGGAGTGGAACCAGGACCAAGCCAAGATTCATTTGGAGTTAAATACCAAGATTAGGCCAGTCTCTCCACCCCCACCCCCCTGACTATTGCTAAAGAGATCTTACAACCTTGCAGGTTATGAGGAATTCTGGGGACCAGAGCAGTTATATGGAACCCACTGTTTCTAAGAACAATCTGAACACATGCCTTAAAACCATTTCCAACAGGAAGATGGCCAGGAAGGGCAATAAGATGGGCTGTCTTTTGGACAAAACTAGACAAAACTCAGCAGCACTTTTTCGTGCGGCTGCTGATAAAAACAGGATCGCCAACGTCCGATAACGGATATGGCACAAGAAGAAGAAGAAGATGTTGTCCCTTGATTTTCTTCTTGAGAACCCCGTGATATTTCTGTTATTGCTTCTACAGTATTATTCTAGGAAGCTGCTTTGGAAGACTTGGCTGAAGAGAAGCCTTCAAACAAAATTAAACACCTCTTCATCAAGCCAACGCCTTCTAAAGCAGCTAACAAATTGAGGAAAAGCAAAAGAATAACGTGCAATAGTCGAAAACAAAGCTGAAGGCTCCTTTCCCCTGGCTTTTGGGAGGGGAAGGTGTCTAGTGTCAAAAGGGCTGTAGACTGAAGTGTTACTGTCTAATTTTTGAAGGAAGGAAAATCCAGAGCAGGTTTTTTTGGGGGGTGGGTGGGTGGATAAATATCTCAATAAAGTCCTCCAAACCTTGTATAGAAACATTTGGGTCAAAAGAGCAACGTCCAGGTGCTCCCCAACTGATTGCAAAGTGAAACACAATCCAAAGGAGGGAGGTGAATACTGAGCAAAAAGAGTTTTTTTTTCTAGAATAGCAACAGGACCTTTTCCCCGCTGGCCAACATTATCAGGCAGACCTCCAGAGACCCAAATTTGATTGAGAAGACGTGGCCCTTACCGGAGACAATCCATGTGGATGCACTGCGAGGATTTGTATTCTCCCTGGCTGTCCTTTTGGAACCCAATCTCCTGCTGCATATTCATCCCATGGATCGCTGCTCTGGCTTCCACAAAAGGCCTGGAGACAGACAGACAGTTTAGCCAAAGAATCAGACAAGCTCTATGGTGCTTAACACATCAACATGATAACAAACATTTTAATCCCAAGCAAGCAAAAAAAAAAAAAAAAAGAGGAAACCTGAGCACAATCTTCCAGACCACTCAGTTTCTCTAGGCCTTCATGTTCCATTCCCAAAATTCCCCAATATTCCATTTCCTTTTCCATAGGAAAATCACTAAGCAGTGCAGAAGCATTTCAGGGCTATTTTGGATGTTCTTTCCATCCTTCAAGATTTATTTTTTAAAAAAACATTTAACATGCAAATTTGTCCCTCTTGCGCAAGGACGATGCCCCTTTAAGTCCATAAGAAGGGATGAGCTTGCAGGCTGGATTCCACGTGGCTTTTATCTCTTTCTTTGGACCAAAGGATTGCTTGGGGATAAATATATCTCCAGATTTGATTGTGTAGGCCCAGACAGCAGACTTTATAAGATCTGATTCTCACCAGTCAAAGAAGTCTCCGTTGTAGGTCACCATGATCGTTGGCTTGGTTTCTTGAACATGTTCAAACCACCGCTGGATAAGATGAGCCTGATTTTTAAAAAAGGAAAAGAAAATGTGTCATTTAGAGACTGTTCTGATTAACAGGTCAATCTGGTGTATATATATTTGACTACGTACATAGTCAAATAGGCTGGGCAGTTAAGTAGCCATTTGATTTAATTTATAGATGTAAGGATAAGAAGCGGAAAAAAAAGCTGACCTCATCAGGTTCGTTGAATACACAGAACGGACCCTCATACTCTGGTTTGGGAGTGAATTCAAAATCTTCAATGTCTTCGGAAACAATCTCCCGGTTTGTGATCAAGTATCCCTGAACCAGGCAGTGAGAAAGAAATGCGACGAAACGTTTGATTAACCGGTCATTCTCTCGAGATATTAATTTGGAACAACGCAACCCCGCAGTCTGTCCCCCTTTCTCCACCCTCATTTGAGGCATGCATCATCCTCTAAACAAGGAGGCCGGGCTCCTATGAACAGTTCAAGCCAGCAAGCCTGAGGAAGAGGGGAGAACAGGATCAGCTGATGGAGCAGATCATAAAGCAATCACAGGAAAAGAAGTGAAGGAACTTCCACTCCAAATTTGAAAGCCTCCTGGCGAGAAAAATCTGCAGTCTGCCTTCCCCACCATGATCTCTTCCAGAGCCGAGTTAATAGCAATCTTATTCTTAATTCTCCTTTTCCATCGGATTCTAGTCATTATACTGGAACAAATATTGAGCGGCGTAAGAGAATGGATTTTAAAGAAACGCCATACACAAACGCACCTCCAGCATCGTAAGCGTCTTTTATCTGCACTGCAATCGGCAAGACCTTCTTTGACAAATACAAAATGTCACCAAGGACCGATTTGCACACCGGCTTGACACTTGTGTCCTTCACTACTGGGCCAGTCTAGAGATCTCTGGAGCTGTTCATGTACTAAACGGCACTTTGGGGGGGGGGGGAACGTCATGATTAAAATGACAGGCACAACCGATGAATTACCTGGCCATCAATCATGTAGGAGATCATCATGATCTGGTCTGTTTCTGCATCAGGAAATTTTAAAGGGAGTTTTGTAGTCTCGATGTCAAAGGCAAGAACAACAGGATCCTGGAAGGAATTTTTTTTAAAAAAAAAAATATGTCAGGAATTTCAGAGAATGCTCATTTCATGCAAACGACGCCGTATTTCAAAGCCCAGAAATTTTAGAAAGATGTCAGGAGAGCCTCTGCAGAAAAACTCACAGGCCGTTCTACCATGTCATCTCGCCGAATAATCTCAGGAGGGAAACTGCTGCCCCGGTGGTGAACGACATACCAGTGAGCCTGTCAAAGGATAAGAGGACCCGATGGAATTAAGTTCAGATTTGGAATTTGATCCCAGCCTCTGTCACTCTACTACTAAAGAGGCCATTCTAAACTTATCTTCAACGTACTAGAACTACTAACAGAAAAAAGGAGAAAGACCCAACGACGGTTCATTCCAGGCAGTGGAAATGAACCACATTTGTTTTTATTTAGGAAAAGACCTCATATTCTATCTCTGGGAACCCCGATTTATGTGCTTGCAATATTTTATTTTATTTTTAAAAATCAAATAAAATTTCAGGGATGTTTGTAGTAATAATTTCCTTCCAAGTGTTATCATGGTATTAGCAGTTTTCATATATCCAACCACAAAGCCACCTTTCCCCAACCCAGCATTTGAAGAGGGGGACCGACAGCTCCCCAAATTTTCAGCTGATGTACAGGCAGGAGTTCTGGAACCGCATTTGGAGAGCCAAGTTAGGGGGAGACAATTCCCCCCCCCCCGTGATTTCGGCCACTGGGAATCGCACGAGAGGGCGGAACACCCCCCATGGCACTCACCACGTGAATCTTCAGATCAATGGACAGGCGGATATGGTAGGGCACGTCGTACTCCCGCATGTCTATGATGTTGTCCATCTGGTCTGCAGTCTTCTTTGAGGGCTCCTCCTCGTGGCTCAGACTGTGCCCAGTGAGAGCACTAGGGGAAAAAAAAACAAAAGCCAGGCTTTTTTACAAGACTTCTTTGCATGCTGGCTAAGAGCAGACAGAGTATGGTGGCAACACAGCAGAAACAGAAACGGTGACTCTGTGGTCTCATCTTTATAGCCAATTGCAATCCAAGGATGCTTTGATTTTAGAGGATGTTCCCCGAGGATATTGCCTCGGATTCATCTTTAAGCCACTGTGAAGGCAACCTAAAGCCATATTTAATTGTTCCACTATTACAATCTTCTCCCTTTTCCCGATATAAACCTTGCTGTGATGCCTTGGTGACTGTTTTCACAAGGACTCTCCCCGATGATTTTTATCTTGAACTGCTGTCTGATTAAAGCTTTACTTGCAAGCCAAGCATCCCACGGGCTATAAGGTATTTCTTCTGGGTCTAGTATTCTTTCTTAAACCAGTCTTATGAAAGAACAGATGATCTGCCTTTTGGCACTTTCGATTTCATTTGGAAAACAGGTTCTTGCTGCTTCACTTTAAACACAGATATGTCGATATTCTGGAAGATAGACATCCCTATGCCAAACCACCCCCACCCCCATGTACCCTGGCTAATATGCCCAGAAAAGTTTGAGTTCAGGGATATTTCCATATTTGTTTTAGATAATTATATCCTAGAGAGACAAGCCAGGTTCTCTGGCAGCACTGTGCATATTCTGCTCCTTTCAACAGGCCAAAAGCTCTGAGCAAGGAAGCAATCCAGCTACAATAGCCCACAGAGTAAAGAGACTGCCCGGAGCAAAAAAAAAAATTAACAAAATTCTGCCAAAATCTGGAATTATTCTTTGATTACCCTACCTAGTCAGCAGGGTGGTGTAAGTGTCCAAAGCTTGGTCCCGTTCTCTATTCTTCTTGACAGCAGGGGTAATCTCCCTGCGCACTTTTACCAGGTCATCTACTGTGTTGAAAGAAAGCTTGATATAACTCCGTTTCAGGCCAACCAGGTGATTGGGCTAAAACAAAAACAAAACAAAAAGACCAGAATCAAACTTTTGAGAGATTCACAGAGATGCAGGGATCATGGGGATCAAAGCAGTGAACGCCGCCAAATGGGGTACAGAAGGCTTTAAAAATACAGTAGCTGAAGCCAACCAGGCTCACTATGGCAACTTTTGAGTCTTGAGAATCATTGCAGCCCCGTCTGATCAGCCAAACCACAAACAAAATGGATCAGGGTTATCCCGCTACATTGTTAAGTAAAGCTGCCGTCATATTAAACAAAATCTTGCTGAATCCGTTTCTCACCAAGTCCAGATCTTCTTTCAGTACAATTTCCAATTTGGCTATTTTTCCCTGGAATTTCTTGGAAAGGAAGGACGATACTTCTCGGTCACAACCCTAAAAAAGACATTTTATAATAAATGGCTTAAGTGGAACTTATTTCTACAAACATTCGAATTCTATTTGAGCAGAAAAGCTTACAACAAATTGTCTGACCATTTGCAAAGGACTTCCTACAGCGACTGTCTCGAGGTAAGATGCTATTTAATAGCACAGCCATCACGCTGCTGCCATTGATGGTGAGCGAAGTTTCAGAAAAAGACACTTTGTCGTTGTTAATATGTTCTTGAAGAATCTTAATATACGTATACAAACACACAGAGAAATCTCTCAGTGCATAAAGCACTAGCACACACGATGGTACACAGCAGTTATTAAGGAACAACTTCTTACTTACAATTTACTACTTCTAAGGCCCAGTCCCAAATGAAGTATTTAACAGTGTAACGTCTACTCAAGAGTGATATTACAGTGGACTGACGTCCAAATGGCTTAAGGCTTGAAACCCATCAGGGGTTGCAAGTGTGGATTAGACTGACCTTCTGGGCTGCAATGTAGAAGTATGGTCTGTAGGGCAAAGCCACCTAGGAGAGAGAACAAACTAAATAAGCTCTTACAAACTAAATAATCCCTGTTACAAGAGAACGGTGAAAAACAAAGATTGTGCTGTTTGCTGTGGGCTCCTTTCACGATTAACATTGATAATTTGGTATACTACTTTAATTCAAATGAATTTTAACACCTCTAAAACGAACTCTCCCACATTCCAAATTGTATGTATCGCTTGCTGCTTTCTTGCCAAAGCATTGTGAACAAGAGTTAGCTGCCAGCTCTAAAAAGGAAAGCGTTTTAACCCAGGTTTGTAACTACGGAATTCCTAAGAATGGGAATGGAAATCCTCAATGGTCACTTGATTAGGGAAGACACTTATTTCAAAATGCACTATGTATTATTATGTGTCATGTACTGTATTAACATGTATGTGCTAAAAATCCCACCCATCACATATCTAATCTTCTTCCAAATTTCAAGCAGGACTTTTAAAAGATACCCATGGATAAATAAAGGTCCCAGTTTAAAGACACCACTGACCTTAAATCTACTTCCATCCTCCTGAATGAAATAATAATCCACGGCACTGACCAAGCGTTTATCCTCATCCAAAATCTCCGTCTAAAACAAACAGAGGTTACTAAAGCCATTTAATTAGAAAACATACTATTCTACAGTTAGGAGCAATCAGTTCAATGTGTTGAATAATATTTTTTCCCCAAAGAACTAAATTGGACGTATGAGAAAGAGCCACGTCCGAAATGTATTTCTGAAGATAACCAAGGGAAAGAGGGAGGCTCCTACCGGGTGCATGTTGATCAACCATCCTGTCCTTTCTGCAGGTTCTTTGATTCTCTCGAACCCAAACCGCGCATCAACTTTGTCCGTCCACTGGCTGCGCTCTAAACGCCGGAGAGCAGAAAGCGAGGAGCCTTCATCCCTGGGGCAAGAAAATGAAAATATTTTGACTCATTTTTTAAGTCTCTAGAGAAGCCAAAGCTCAAACACTCAAAGAAAAAACGGTCTTTGGACAAGGTCTTTGCAACAGTCGTAAGTATGAATCAATTGCCAACTGTCTGAATTTTGTTCACGTGACCAACGCAGAGGCTGCAATGGCCGTAAGCATGAAAAGCGGTCATAAGTCATTTTTTCCCCAGTGCTGCTGTAACTGCGAACGGTCACTAAACGAACTATTGTAAGTCAAGGACTTGTCTTTTGACACTTTGGGAAGCGGGGACCATCCGAGACCTGCGGGTTCTTTGCTACAGGTAGTCCTCAACTTACGACCACAATTTAGCCCAACATTTCTGTTGTTAATTGAGGACGTTTCACATTTCTGTTAAGGGAGTTTTGCCACGTTTTACGACCTTTCTTGACACAGTTGTTAAGTGCGGCTGTAACTGAGAACGGTCACTAAACGGACCGTTGTAAGCCGAGGACAACCCGGACCAAGCCCTGGCTCAGAACCCTGACCCGGGACACGACCTCGGGCTCCTCCTCACCGCGGGGTCTCCTTCTCGCCATCTCCCGCCGCGGGCTCCGCAGCCCACCGGCGCCGCCACCCGCCGCCGCCGCCGCCGCCCTTCCTCAGCGCCATCCTGGCCGGCAACCCGGCCGTCTCCCGGCCGCATTTCCCGCGCTGCGGAAGATCTCGCGAGACCCAGTCGCAGCTCTCGCGCCCCAAAGCTTTGTGACTCGTGGACTTCAACTCCTAGAATTCCTCAGCTAGCTGTTCTGGCGCAGGAATTCTGGGAGTTGAAGTCCGCCATGGTTCCCCCCCACCTCTGCCTTAAACCAATCAAATGTCTACGCTTGAGTTTCGGTGCTACGCGACGACCAATGGAAGAGCAGCTTTGTCTTTCCCTTCCTTTTCTCCAAAGAGCCGTTTCCCTCCCCCTCTGTATTGTTCCCGCCTCTCCGCTCGATCTGTCCATTGGCTAATGCCCTGTCCCGGTCCTCTCTTCTCCGATTGGATGAAACAAACTCCTGTCAGCATTCACGGCTTCTCTGCCCTCACCCTCCCTCGGCGGGGGAGGGGGGGACAACCAATGGTCGTAACTCGGGGCAGCCCTGGTTAATGTGGGGCAGGGATATAGACTGAACTATTCAACAAACCATGGTTAGTTTAATTCTTCTTGCTGGGGTGCTTGTGCTTCCCTGCTGTGTCTGGGCTGATGCAAAAGTGCCTTAGCAGCAGAAGAACTGGGGGGGCAAATGCAGGCAGTCCTTGAATTACGGCCACAATTGAGCCCCAATTTTTTTGTTGCTAAGCAAAACATTAAGTGAATTTTGCCCCGTTTTAGGTCCTTTCTTGCCACAGTTGTTCAGTGAATCACTGCAATTGTAAAGTTAGTAACCTGGTTGGGATCACGTGACCCTGGGATGCTGAGACCGCCATGAATAGGAAGCAGTTGCTAAGCGGCTGGATTTTGATCATGTGACCACAAGGATGTTGCAACGGACATAAAATGTAAAAAAAGATTCTAAGTCATTTTTTTTCAGTGCAGTTGTAACTTTCAATGGTCACTAAACAAACTGGTGTAAGTTGAGGACTACCTGTAATACTTACAGATACCCACAGGGTTGCAAACAACAGCAAAATATATTTGGGGGGAATGTTTTAGTTGACTTGGCCTACATTGTCAAGCTCTTCTTGAGCTTCATCAAGTTGGTGATGGAGCTAGGTATAACTTCTTTTCTTCATTTTTTCTCACTTTCCTTTTTTCTCTCTCTCCCTTCCTAATTTTTCCCTCCCTTCCTCACCCTCTTTTTCTCTCCTTCCTCCCTTCTTGCCTTGCCTTATCTCTCTTATTTTCTTCCTTCTTTCCCCTCTTCCTTTCCTTCCTCCCACTTTTTTCTTTCTTTCTTTCTTTCTTTCTTTTCTTTCATCTTCCCTCCTTCCTTGCTCTTTCCCTCCCTTTTCCAAATCTATAAGAATGGCCTCCTTCCTTTTTCCTTTTGCTGGCTTACCACTTTTACAATAACGGTCAGCTTAATGCACTCTTGATCGTTGCCAGAAAATGAAATTATTTTTGGGACTGGCAACATCTCCTCTGCCTGTTCATCTGATCCCTAAATGGATCCAGCCTTCAGATCTGCTGCGTCAGGATTGCTATTTACAACCATCGCTTTTAAAAGCCGGAGCTGAAAGGCAGAGGGCGGTGGCCATCCCATCCTGTGCCCTTCACAGGACATTTCTGAAATCAGTGAGTTTTCTTGAATCTTGGATGCACGGACGCTGACCGGTCCAAACATTAGAGGCTGAACATCTCGGAAAAGAATAGATAGATTATAATAGATTATTATTATTGTTGTTGTTGTTGTTATTACATGCCATGCTTCCTCTCCTTCCGGGGTGAAGCTGCACCGGTTGGATCCCCGCCCACTTTCGCCTTCCCCCCGCCCTCCAGGCTCTGGAACGCCTCGAGGCCCCGCCCTCAAGTGGGCGGAGCCTTCAACGGAAGAAAAAAAAAGCACCCGGCAACCGGTGCCGGGGAAGCGCCCAGCCGGTTGCCGTGGCAACGCGGCAGCTGTTTCGCCGCGGCTGCACCTGAGCCTCCGCGCCTGCGCAGTTCCCCTGCCCTCGACGTCACCCCGTCCCCCTCCTCCCCTCCCTCCCTCCTCCTCGCTCCCTTTGGGGAGCAGCGCCCCCTCCCCTCGGCCTCCCTCCCCCCGGCAGGACCGGAGCGGGGCGGGGGGAGCATCGGCGGCGGCGGGTGAGTATCAGAGCCCCCCCCGGCGTTCTTCCCATCATGCACCGCGCGGAGGGTGGGGAAGGGGATGGGGGGCTTTGCCAGACTCACCCCTCCCGTTTCACCCCTGGTGGGGGCCAGGGGAGAGACCCCCAAGCCCCACTTGCTTGAATTACTGAGGAAGGGGAGCCCCCCAAGAGGGGAGGGAGGTGTATTTTCCTGCAGGGGGAGATCCCCCCACTTAAAGAGGGACCCCTCCAAGTGGAAAGCCTGAGAAGAGCCCCCTACCACTGGATTAGGACCCCCCCATATGATAAAGGAGACGGTTTTGCCCCAAGGAATGACCTGTGGAGACCCTTCCCCACTTCAGGAGAGAGATCTCCCTCTGGGAAGCCTGAGGATCCCCCCCCCTATAAGAAGGGTGGTTCCCTCCCCCCCCCCGAATGACTTAGGAGGACCCTTCCCCACTTACAGAGAATGTTCCCCCTCTCTAAAGGACTTTGTGAGCACCCCTCCCAAAAGTATATGGGGGGAAAGGGTTCCCTTATAAGGGGAGACCCTTCCCCATTAAGGGGAGACCTTTCCCATGTTTGGAAATAGGTGGACACCCCCTATATTCTTCAAGAAAACAAGGGGAGATCCATCTGTCTGTCGGTCTGTCCATCCATCCCTTTCTCCATCCATCCATCCATCCATCCATCCATCCCTTCTCATCCCGATCATCTCTTGCCTGTCTGTCTGTCTGTCTCATATCTATTTTATAATGTCCCCCCAAGAAGAAAACAGGGCAGACTTTTTTCACAGGAAACCACGCTCAAACCCCTCTCTGCTACTAAATCTATTTTTCTGCCATTAAACAGGCGCACCAAAAGAAAGTCGCATTAATGCCGTATCTTACCAGCTAGCCCTCGACTTACAGCAGTTCATTTAGTGACCGTTCAAAGTTACAGCCGCACTGAAAAAAAGGGACTTAGGACCGTTTTTTCAGTTTTAACAACTGCGATGATTCACTTCACCCACCACGGCGAGAAAGGCTGTAAAATGGGGCAAAACTCATGTGAGCAACAGAAATTTTGGGCTCCAATGTGGTCGTAAGCCGGGGACCACCTGTATTAATCTCACTTCATCCTCCAGGTTTCCCTCCGGCTTCAAAACCTGCCTGCAGAATAGAATTTGTGAACTGCTTTTTTTTTTTTTAATCTTTTTTTTTTTTAATTTGGAAGAATCACTCTGGGTTCTTCTTTATTAGAGAAAGGGAGGGTTTGGAAGGGCAGCGACAGAGGATGGGAAGGAGAGTGGGACCCCTCCCCTTAATACACACACACAGGCCAACACGCTTTCCTTTGCAGTGTGGAGCAGTCCCACAACGCAAGGTGGGAAGATTGTGGCGTGTTTGCGATGCTCCACTCTCAGCTGGGTTTTCTTAACCCTGGTGGAAATGAGAGCAGCCAGACCAAGTCAGGCTTCTGGCTAGGATGGCGCCCCTCCCTCTCCTCTCCTCTCCCCCCCTCCCTTTCCCAGCTCGCAAGCTAGCTAGCTGGCTGGCTGAGATTCTACATGCTTCTTCAGCCGAAGGTGGGACATCGTCGGGATGGGAGGGTCTCTCCGGTTTTGTTAACCACTGGAGGGAAAATGTGAACTCCGCCTGAGTGGTTTGGCTGCTAAGTCTTAGCAATGTGCTGGAACTGGGTAATTTAAGGAAAAGGCACCGGGGTGGGGGTGGGGGTGAGGGTGAGGGCTTGGGAAGTCCAAGGGTGGATCCTTAAGTTCATTGTCTGCATTGCAGGTGGAAAAAGAGACTGCATCTTTTTTTGGGGGGGATGTGCGATACGTGTGCAGACGAAACGGCTTCCCTTTTGCTTCCTTCTTACACGCAGCAAGAATTCGCTCCGGGGGTAACACTGCAGTTGGTGGCACTGAATGGGCCGTGCGCCTCCCATCCTCGGGCTTTCCTGGGAGTGTAAATCGGGAGCAGGGATTTTTGAGAATGCTCGTGTAAGGGGGTGAGTTTGTCGGGGAAGGCTACTTTTCATTGTGTTTTTTAGCAGAAAGACTGCGTGTTCGAGAGCGTCGGATCGGTCGGTGTCTTTGGATCCAAACTGAAAATTGAACACTGAACGGCAGTGGTTGTCTTCCCTTGTAACGGGTAGTTTGGGGAGTCTTGGTGGCTGTTTGTTCTGAGTTGCAAAAATTAGGCGGCTGTGCCTTGAAGATCACGGCTACGAAGTACTGAACGGTAGCTGGGCAGTTGTGAGTCCGGTGGCTGAAACCAGACTCTGCTCTTTTGTGAGGTTATAAAGGACGGAAAACACGGCAACCGCCACGGCAGGGATAAAGGGCTCAGAATTTTCTCTAGATGAAGCCTTCTAGGAGAGGGGTGAGGCTTATAAACTTCCAGAAAGTTAGAAGGTGGCGTTAAAGAGGATATTTCGTGCAGAACTGTGGCCGTAAAGCTGTAAGTAAGCATCTCTCCAAGTGTTGGCAATGCTGGTGAACTTTGTAACCACCTTTAAAAGCTGATTTTATAATATTTAATTGGATGAAGCCAGATGGTGTCCCCACTTGTTTGTCAGAGGCAACTAATATTTCAAGCGAGTAATTAACAGTCAGCGCACCCATAGGCATTCACACAGACATGTGAGCAGTGCCCCGTCATATGAAACGCTAAGCAGGAGTCCTTTAGGCCTGTGTTTTGGATTGGATCAATTAGAACTGAGTTTGTGACTGTCAATTTAGGGTCTTCATAAAAGAGAACTGTTTCCTGTAAGAGCTGGAGGCTAAATTTGGCTATCTTTGTCTGTTTCAGAGGTTTGGTTTTTTTACTGCAACGCACAGCCCAAAATCCTATTTTTTGAAGCAACAGCCCCTGCTGGGTCTTGCGTTAACCATCATATCTCGGCTTTCCAAGACTCAGCCCTGGAAGGCTATTGCGCATTATTGTCTATTTCCATGAGCCAGTTTGCTACCATAGGGTGGTTATTATTTGATTTCTGTAGCTACCCATCTTGGTTAGGTGATGGTTCTGAAGATCTGGGTGGGGCCCGGCAGTCTAACAGCGGCCTTAAGAGATCTAGACTCTTGGCCACTTGCCTGTTCCTGTTTAACTGGACTTGTTGATTCGCTGGTACATCGTGATTAATCGAAGAACCTTAAAAAGGAGCATCCTTCTCTCCGTTGGGCCATTTGATTTGCAACGTGTCTCTCATAAAGATGAAGTTGATGGGAAAACTCCTTTTTTTGATCAGGAAGGTGACATAAAAACACGCAGGCTTTCAAAGAGAAGGTCCTTGTTCTCATTGTTGCAGTTTTTTCATGATAGAAGGATGGGTAAATAAAAGGAATGGCCCCAGAAGAGGCATCCCCGGTGGATTGCTCGATTCTGCCGAATAGCCCAGTTTGGCGTTTGCCAAAATCTCGCCTGCACTATGCTGTAAGCTGGTGGCAAGTTGCCACACTGTGCCGAGAGCTGCCAGCTTTGGAGTCCTTTCCCAGGATGGGTAGGGCTTGTCTGTATTTCCAGAAAGTGTTTGGAAAAAGCAGGCGGGAGATTAGCTCATCCTTTGTCGTGCCCCCGTCCTCTTAATTGTTCTCCCTTTCCTGCTCCATCACTGTCTTGTCACAGGGGCTAAAAATAAACTCTGCAGAGGCATTAAGGGCCGAGACGTTTGCAGGTTGGTTAGAAGGGAACCAGAGAAGTCTGTCTGGAAAACGAGGAGGGGAGAAGAGCCCGCAGGCGTGATTGAACGAGCCACTGCATTCAAAAAAAAAGGGGGACAGTCGGTCTCGGCATCATTTATTACAGCTTTTGAAAAGAGCCGTGTGTCTGGATATTGGCCACCTCAATTTGTCTGATGACTTTCACTTGGTTACTGAGTTTATCCATTTCTCTGGATCTGCAGTCACCGAGTTGGACCTTGGAAGTCATCTAGTCTAACCCCCTGCTCTCGCAGGAGACCTATACCATTTCTGATCAATGGCTGTCCAGTCTCTTCTTCAAGACCTCCAGGGATGGAGCACCCACAACTTCTGAAGGCAAGTTGTTCCACTGATTAATTGTCCTCACAGTTAAGCAAGTTCTCCTTAGTTCTAGGTGGCTTCTCTCCTTGGTTAGTTTCCATCTATTGTTCTTGTCCTGCCGTTGGTGCTTTGGAAAATAGGTTGACCCCCCCCCCCCTCTTCTTTGTGGCAGCCCCTCAAATACTGGGATACTGCTATCCTGTCACTCCTAGTCCTTCTTCTCTCTAGACTGGCCACACCCAATTCCTGCAACCCTTCTTCGTAGGTTTTTGTCTCCAAATTCTCAACGTCTTTTTGTAATGTGATGACCCAAACTGGATGCAGTATTCCAGGTGTGGCCTTACTACAGCCAAATGTTGAGAAAGAATTCTCAAACCCAGAGTTGATCTGTAGCCTCCTGTGGAGTTGGTCCCGGTCTCCTGATCTTGGGGCAATTCATGTGGGTGGGAGCGGCAATAAATTTGAATGACTTCTGTTCCCTGCAAGCTCCTGGCTTTTTAAAGAAAAAATAAAACCACAGGGAATAACCTTGGGCTCTCCTACACCCTCCAAGTTGGCCTGGGGAGGGGGGAGAGAGAGAGAGAGAGGGAGAGAGCCGAAGTAGAAAGGTCAGCATCGACCTGCATTAAATTCCGACAAGATTCATTAGTTAACTGTTTGCGGGAGCAGAGGAAGAGAGCTGGGTAGCAGCATGTCCTGGAAACATTGCCGAGATAATGGATGAAGACATTGATCTGCCAAGGAGCATCTTTTATACTTGGTGGAGAATCAATCTTAAAATTGAGATCATATGACTTGCACAAAGCAGATGCTCTTCCCTCCAGCTACGAAGCCACTCTTGTGATGGGCGAGTCACACCATGCTGTGCTTTGTCACCTGATTATTATTATTATTTTTTGGGGTGGGGGCAGAGGGGAATATTCAGCGAGGCATTAGCGGAGGCAGTAAAGCTTTCAGCTCTACAGACGAGGCTGCTTCTTCCAGGCAGATAATGTAACCTGAGAAATGCCTACAAGGCATGGGTCTGGAAAAAACAGGGTGGTCTCTTTGGAGAACCCATTTCCCCCCCCCACTCCCTTTGATCCAGGATCTTCACTGGGGGTGACATGATAGTTCCAATATCTCAGGGGCTGCCCCAAAGAAGAGGGGGTCAAGCTATTCTCCAAAGCGCCAGAAGGCAGGACAAGAAGCAACGGATGGAAACTAACCAAGGAGAGAAGCAACCTAGAACTAAGGAGAAATTTCCTGACAGTGAGAACAATTTAACCAGTGAAACTGCTTATCCCCAGAAATTGTGAGTGCGCCAACAGTAGGAGGTTTTTAAAGAAGAAATTGAACAACCATTTGGACTAGAAGACCTTCAAGGTCCCGTCCAACTCTGTTATTCTGTTATTAAGAGCTTTTGGGGGGGGGAGGTTTCGTGTTCCTTTTTGGAGGACCACGTCCTTGTCTTCAAAATGTCCTTCTGATGGAGGTCTCTCGATAGACAGGGCTCAAAATATTTGGGAGTGTCAGGCTTTAGCAATGCTTCCAACCAGATCCTAACAGCCTTCAGTCTCTCTCGTGCGAAAGGAAGGGTTGTCATGGGTTGAGACTTCCATCAGCCTGGTGGGACCCAAGTGGGCTTTGGAGGCGGTTTGGGTAGCTCAGCCCTCGGCTTCTGCATCCTTGCATTCAAGGACAAAAGTCCTGGCAGGGAATCGCTGGAACTGTAACGTTCACTCCCTGGGGATGATGTTGATGTCCAGACAAACATGGTGGCTTGATGAACGTTTGTTTGGTCGTCTGAGGAGGAGGGGGAGATTAGAACCCAGCTGATTCCTCCTTTGAACCCCACTGCAACGTTTCTCTGGTGCCAGTTTCACAAACACGCGAATTCAACTAAAGAGCACCGGGTGGTGTCTTTCCCCTCCCTCCCTCCCCTCTCACCCATTGTGACCACACAGTTATCCCAAGCAGACGGAGAGTTCCACAGGTGGTGAGCTTCAACTGAAATATCAGTGATGGTAAAGACGGGAAGGATCCTTCCCAATTTCCCACTCTCTGTGGACCCTGGCAGCCGGCCAACGCGGCCTTCTCTGGCCTTTTCCGTCGGCTTGCGCGCGCTGATCGTCTCCCCCTGGCTTCCTTTTGTCCTCTTCTCCTTTCCTGCCTTCCCTCTCATCCCTCCCTCCTTCCTTTCTTCCCTCCCTCCAGATTTGCTGGATGCCAGGATGGCAGCACTGAACCTGGAGAACCAGCTGCACAGCGCCCAAAAGAATCTGCTTTTTCTCCAGAGGCAGCACGCAGATACCCTCAAGGGGCTGCACGCCGAGATCCGCCGCCTGCAGCAACACTGCACAGGTACCGAGAGAAAAGCTGGCTTTCTCGACCTCGGCGGACGGTTAAGATGTACAGGTAGTCCTCGACTTACGACCACAATTGAGCCCAAAGTTTCTGTGGTTAAGTGAGACGTTTGTTAAAGTGAGTTTTGCCCCATTTTACGTTCTTTCTTGTTAAGTGAATCACTGCAGTTTGCAGTTAGTAACCCGGTTATTAAGCGAATCTGGCTTAATAACGTGATCCCCCCCCGGACACTGCAACCGTCGTAAATATAAACCAATTGCCAAGCGTCCGAATTTTGTTCACGTGACCGTGGGGATGCTGCAACGGTCGTAACTCTGCAAAAGGGTCACAAGTCACCTTTTTCAGTGCCCTTGTAACTTTGAACGGTCACTAAGTCGAGGACTACCTGTCCTTGCTGGCTGGGGAATTCTGGGAGTTGAAGTCTGCCCGTCTTGCAAGATGTGTCACCTTTCAAGCAACTGGGCTGATGACACATTTTTTTTTAATTTCTTTTCTTTAGCTGATGTACCCAGGTTTGTGGGCAGAGGGAGCTCATATTGGCTGCTGATAGCATTTACAGATTAAGGAGATAAAATCGTCCTATAAATAAAGTAGGTTTCCCAGTGTGGAGATTGGTCACAGAACTCTGCTAGTCCTCGTTCATAAAGTATGGTTTGTTTTCTGGAAAGGCCCGTTTGTGTCCTCTGGGTTTCATCTATGGCTTGCCCGTTTGGAGCGCGTTTCTACAAGGTCTTAACTCTTGTCTGTTTTTCAGATCTGACCTACGAGTTGACTCTCAAAAGTTCAGACTTGACAGGTGAGGAATCTTGAACGCATTCGTGCATACCCTCCTTCCGTGCTTAAGATATCCTTCCAACATTGTGGAAGGTGCATTTTCGCTGCTGCTATTTTATTTAGATGTTGGGAGTCTGAATCAAATCCCGTTATTTTCTCTGCATTTCCTTGCTGGCAACCTTGGCCAGTGTTTTTGCAGGGAAGGCAGGCAATGAGCGCAACCTTCGCCTGCAATGGTTTTTCCCAGCAGCCAGCATGGAAAACCGTTCTGCTTCTGGCTTCAGTTCTTCACTCGCTTCATGTGGAATGCCTGTAGCATTTTGAATCGCTTGAGTTAAATCCTCCTTCTCCCTCTTTCAGAAAATGGGATTTCGAGGAGCGAAGAGCTCAGAAGGAAATGCGAAGAGCTGGAGGCCCAGCTTAAAGCGAAGGAGATGGAAAACAATGAATTATTAAAAGAGCTCGAGCAAAAGAACGCCATGATCGCGGTGCTCGAGAACACGATCAAGGAGCGGGAGAAGAAATACTTGGAAGAATTAAAGATGAAAAGCCATAAATTAAACATGCTCTCCAGCGAACTGGAGCAGCGGGCCAGCACCATCGCCTACCTAACCTCCCAGCTCCACACCACGAAGAAAAAACTCATGAGCTCCAGCGGGACGTCGGACAGCTCTCCGTCCGGAAGCCCCGTGCTCTCCGGCTACAAACCCGCTCCTCCCAAAGAGAAGCTTCCAGAAACTCCGCGGCGCAGGATGAAGAAGAGCCTGTCCACGCCGCTCAACCCCGAATTCGAGGAGGCCTACCGATTAGGCTCGGAGAGCCGCAAGCTGCTGCTGCGGGAGCCGGTCGACGCCATGCCTGACCCCACGCCCTTTTTACTGGCCAGAGAATCCACGGAGCTGCACCTTCTGAAAGAGAGGCCTTTAGTCATCCCCCCCATCCCATCTGAGCGCGCTTCGGCCGAGCCCCACAGCCCGGCCCGGGAGAGGCAGCACAAGAGCCACGTGGGGGTGGCGCACCGCATCCATCATGTCCCACCTCCCCAGCCCCACCAGCCGCCCGAGGTGGAGACGCTGGCCGTGGACCAGGTGAACGGAAGCAAAGTGGTTCGGAAGCATTCGGGGACAGATCGGACTGTTTGAACCGGGTGCTTGGGAGGGGACTCTCGGCGGTCAGCAGACGGTCAGGCTGCACCTCCCTCCCCTCTTCCGAGCGCCCCCCCCTTGTGCATGCCAAAATCTTTCCAGAACTAGAGTTAACTTCTTCCTCACCTGTTCCTATTGCAGAGTTATCTACCTAATGAAATGCTGTAGCCAAACTCAGGTGCGTCTGCCTGAATTGCTTGCTTCCGATGCTCCTTCATTTATTCGGGGCGCGCCGACGGGCCCAGGCCCGGGGCTTCCAGAGCCTTGCCGCGCTCTGTATCGGCTCTTAACAGTAAAGCCTTCCCTCTGTCTGTCTGTCACTTTGCACAGTCGTGATAAATTCTTATTTTTGAGGATGGGATGGGCCCCCACAGCGGCACAGGGGATAAGAAGGAAGAGGAGACAAAGGAGAGAGACACCCCCCCCCCCATACACACTCTGTCTGCCTTTCCAGCATGAGATCTTGATCACAGAGTTCCTTTTTTCTGTTCAGGTTTTTAATCTAGTCATCTACTAAAATCCCAAGAAACTCTATTTTGCTAATCCAGCTGAGCTTGTTCGTGTCCTTTGTTGAACAGGTGGAGGAGAATCGGAGGGGGGGGAGTGGAAGGGGCCGGGGAGGAAGAACGGATGCCCACCACTGCCCCGTGGAAGGGGTCTCTGTTGGAGATGGTGAATAAACCAACTATCGGGGTGATTACAAGGGCCTTCTGAAGGCTGGCTTTCTGGGTCAAATTTTACTGCCAAGCATCTGCTCCAAAAATTTGGGAGGAATGCACTGAAATTAAAAAAAAAAATGTCCTTAACCTTTCTTAACAGCCCTGCAGTTTAAGGAAACAATCTTACTGGTGCAATTTCACCAGACACGGTTTAAAACGGCATCCACACCGAGAAGAATTGGCTAAAAGGAAGACTGAATAAATTCATTTTCAGGGCGGACAGTCAGGTTAGTCTGCTGTAGCAAAAGCAGCGGCGTTTTGTGGAACCGTACCAAATCACATACTTATTTTGGGAGATAATAGTAAATACATTAACCTTCCTGGGTGCCGCCTTAGTTCTGAATCCCCAAACGACATCTTTTACACCAAACACATTTGCAAAAGTATTTATTGATATAAAGTGCAATAGATAAATATGTGTTGTTGTTTTAAAAGAACAAGAAAGGGTAACTGAAAATTAAACAAACCTGCAAAATAAAACTTTGCAACTGGGAAGCTTCCAGTGGCTAGAGCAAAGAAGGCTGGGTTTTTCAACTCTCTTTTTTCTTCACTTTTTCCCCCCAAAAATGGTTAACAGAGCTACGGCGTGGCTGCGCCGCTGCTTAATCGGCATTTAAGGTGAGGGAAACCCCTTGGAGGACCCAGTGAGAAATATGCCTTGTGGTAAATAGATCAGCTTCAAACACCAATCCGACCCCCATGGCGTTTCTCCGCATGGATGTCGTGTAGACTGGCGTTCGGAAAGTGTTCTAAAAAACACAACCATCGCGATGTTGTTGCTAAAAAAATCAGACACAACCTATAGAAGTGAGTAATTGTAGCTCAGGGTTGAACTGGGGAGTCCTGGGTGCTCTTGATGGTTTTCTTGCAGAAGTTTCATGACCCATCTAGGCAACATGATCAGGGCTAGAAGGGAGGGGGGGTGTTCCTTCCTGTTTATATACTAGCAGTAAACAACCCCCAATCAAGGAACTAACAATGCCACAAAAACGGTAAACAACACTCTAATCGAAGGACCAGCAAGACCACTCCCAACCTACACTGATAGGGCAAGTCTCTTGTATATAGAGAGCAAGCCCCACTCCTCCAACACTGATGATGTTATCTAGTAGGGTCATGAAATGTCTTCAAGAAACCCACCAAGCTCAAAGAGCACCACAGTGGCCATACCACATGCCAATCAATGTGCCCATCAATGACCACATGGAAAGAGAGAATGTCCTGCCTCCCCCCCCTCCCCCCCGTCCCCTAGTATTCTGAATCAAAAACTCAACCGCCAGCTTGCAACCTTGGCTCGTACCTGCAGCTTCAGCCGATGGGCCTCGATGGGGATGATCTTCAGGATGGGCAAATCCACAATCAGCACTTTGGGCTTGCTCCTGATGAGGCAGCCGTTCTCGAGGTCCCAGTCAGCCCCCTCCAAGTACAGGCCAGAGACGAAGCACCCTGGGGAGGGGAGAAGGGAGGCGTCCAGCCCTGAGAGAGAGCATCCTCAGCCACCTCCTGTTTTAGAAATGCTGCAGCCCCTCAACAAAGGCGGGACTTGAGGACACGTGGCAGTTGCCCAGAGTTGGGGAGAGTCAGGCAGCATGTAAGGTTAATAAATATTATTATTATTATTGCAAGGTCCATAAGGTTCATCAATGGCTCAATTCATTCTACGATTGCCTCAATACATTGTTCCATGAGTCCCTGCTGAAAGGCCCAGTTCACGCATGTTTTCCACACAACCGTTGCAGCCTCCCCCTGACGTGACGTGATCAAAATCCGGCCACTTGGCAACTGGCACATATTTATGACGGTCGCAGTGTCCCCGGGGTCAGGTGATCCCCTTTGGCGACCTTCCGATAAGGAAAGTCAATAGGGAAGCCAGATTCACTTAACAACCGTGTTACTAACTTCACTGCAGTGGCTCCCTTAACATCGTTGGCAAGGAAGGTCATAAAAGGGGGGGGGGCAAAGCTCATTTGACAGCCATCCTACTTAGCAACGGAAATGTTGGGGTCATCAACCGGGGACTACCTGTGGCAACCTGTTCAGCAGCAGTCTTGTGGGCTTCCTGAATGCCAGGCCCCGGGGGACGCCTTACCTTGGCCCGGCCGCTCCGTGACCTCGTCCGCAGTCCGGTACTTGGTGACTTGGGTGTATAAAGTGGAGCGGTCGAGCGGCCAGCCGTTCTTTCTGCAGGTGGCTTGGACGAGCGCCGTGAGGTAGGACTCGGGGATATGCAGTCCCGACAGCCACATGACGCTCGGCTCGCTTTCTTCCACCTAAGGACAGCAAGGAACTCGGTTTGGCTCTTCCCCAGGGTAAACGAGGTTACGCACAGCTCTCTGCGCCCGTGTGTGTGTGTGTGTGAGTTACAGAATGGCATTAACTGGGTCATCCCTGCTAGAGAGATTCTGATGTTCTCCAGTTGGAGTTGGCCAGCCAATCAGTTTAAACAAATAAGTAATAAACCTGGAGAAAAATCACAGAGTATAAAGACCTGCAAATAGAAGTAAAAGGATAAAAGAGCACAGGCAGGACCAATAGCAATAAGCTTGGGGGCAATCCCAAAAAAATCTGGAGTGCCGTTTGAGCACCATCGGCATTGACCAAAATCTCATTCAGTCAATTGCAATCAGCAGCTTGACTTGGAGTTGACAACCTGGGATGATACTTCTTTTAACACCGTCAAGTATTCACATTCGCCTCTTCCAGGTTCTTGGGAAGGATTTGAGAGGCGGACAAAGCCAAATCCAGCCAAAACATCTGGTTGATTGTGTGACCAAATATAATAGTAATAATAACAACAATTCTTTCCATCATTGTTAGTAGCCCCTTCAGCTGATATAACAGAATAACAGAGTTGGAAGGGACCTTGGAGGTCTTCCAATCCAACCCCCGGCTCAAGGCAGGAAACCCTATCCCATTTCAAACAAATGGCTGTCCAGTCTCTTCTTAAAAACCTCCAGTGATGGAGCACCCACAACTTTGGAGGCAATTTCCGTTCCACTGATTAATTGTTCTGTCAGGAAATCTCTCCTTAGTTCTAGGTTGCTTCTCTCGAGTAGTTTCCATCCGTTGCTTCTTGTCCTGCCTTCTGGTGCTTTGGAGAATAGCTGGACCCCCTTCTTCTTTGTGGCAGCCCCTCAAATATTGGAACACTGCTATCATATCCCCCCAGTCCTTCTTTACTTTAAATTAGACATACCCAATTCCTGCAACAGTTCTTCATGTGTTTTGACCTCCAGTCCCCTAATCATCTTTGTTGCTCTTCTCTGCACTCCTTCTGGAGTCTCAACATCTTTTTTACATCGTCGTGACCAAAACTGGATGCAGTATTCCAAGTGTGGTCTTACAATGACATTATATGCCGGAGTGATCTCACATGCTCTGGAAAGGGGGTCCTCTACCCCAAAACACAGACCTCTCCCCCACTTAACAAGGGTGCTGCAAAGGCGTCGTGTCTACTTACCCACGATGTGTATTGGAGAAATCTGTTCTTAAAATAAATCATCCAGTTGCCGAGGGTCTTCAGCGTATCGGGAGCCAACTTCCTCCAGATGTTTGGAATCTGACCGTTGAAGAGAGCCCGGGCCACTTCGTCCAGTTCATTGCTCATGCCAACTTCCCCAGCCAAGGCCTGAGCAGAAGACACAAAGGATGGTTGGTCCACTTGCCACTCAAGATGGAAAAAATAAATAAAATAAAGGGGGAAGGGTGGGCAAGATGGTTCCCTGCTTACTCTCTGCAGCTCAGCCAAAGACTTGGTCATCCGGACGATGAGTTTGTTGAACCTTTCCAGTTCCTGCAGTAGCACCACCGTCGTTGGCGAGATGTCGATGCCCAAAGCCTTCCGGATATGATCGAGATCGAAGATCTTGGGCATCTTGTTCTCAATGTCCTTGGCAACCTGACCGATGTACTCATCCCGGCTGATCCCAGCGCCGGATTCCCCTAAAATCAGGACAAAGAGATCGGATGGAGGCACGTCAAGAACCTCTTTGGTTGGGTGATGACCAATCCAACGTTGCGAAGTGGAAAAATATCTGCTGATTGGGGTGGAGGTTGGGTTTTTGTTGTTGTTGTTAATACACATAGTCTTCAACTTACAATGGTTTGTTTAGTGACCGTTCAAAAATTACAACGGCCTTGAAAAAAGTGACTTATGACCATTTTTCACATTACAACCGTTGCAGCATCCCCATGGTCACGTGATCAAAATCCAGACGTTTGGCAACCAACCCATATTTATGATGCTTGCAGTGACCTGGGATCACGTGATCCCGTTTT